TGCATGAAGCCAAAAGTGTCTCCCCCGCCCCCCCCCCCAATGAGAACGAAGCTGGAGACTGTATTCTGCAATCCCAAATAAAGAATGATCAGTCGGTAAGAAAACAGGGTGGGGAATTTTCCTGCAGACTTTTTTGGGGATTTTCCCAGGGCCTCTGGTTCGTGGGATTTAAAATTACGAGTTTGGCGGTCCCTGAGGTCCAAAAGGTTGGCGCCCCCTGTTCTAATGAATGAAAAACATTTTGAGAGGCAAAAGCAAGGCAGTACCCAAGTCAGTAACAAGCTATGGTTCAAGCAGGCTCCTCTGAACTTTGAAAACAATGTGGTGGACATGTCCAAGGACATACTGAACTTACCGTAAATAAAAAACAGACTTGGTTGCACGCTCCTGGTAAACAAACATATTTTTCCTGTTCACAACCGAGAAAGCATTGAGCACAGAGCGCAGGGCTTGGATAGCTGCAGAAGAGAGAGTGAGAAGTGCAAGTTTACAAAGAGACAGATTTAGCTTAATGCCCAATCTATAGCGATTTTCAGATACCAACCCACCAGTTTCTCTGGGTTACAACCCATTCATTAACTCAACTTCATAATTACCAATCTCCTGGACGCATCCAAATATTTGAAAACTGTCTTAATTTGATAGTATTAATAGGCATTAAACAACATGTGAAAAGGTATCAAATGCTAGCAGAGTTCCAATTAAGGTATTATGTATCAGAGAATATTTGGACCAAATTCTTTGCTAGAGAAAGTTTCAAATACATGCTAACATCATCTAATGTATTTAGCAGATGTGATTTTAAAAACAGAAGTTATTTCTTAAAAAGTAGTACTTTAACACTTTAACACATTACTGTGGAGGTACAACCTCATCTCACTGCTTGGATTTCTTCCAATTGCTTTGCTCAAATCTCGATACTACAACATTTTAGTTTTAAATGTCAAAACCCCTCTATAAAATTTTCTCGTTTTTTAATCACATGATCATTCCCTCAGATACTACTTACCACCATCCCCACATTCCATAGCGGCAGCCACTCTTTTCAAGAGACTGCTGTATCGCTGCCTGGTCTTGTCTGACATGAAACTCTATATCCTGTTCTGGACCACCTTATCAATACCTTTCCTATCTCCTAGGGACTGCCAACTAACAGGAAGGGGAGAATTTACTGTGTCAGGACACAAGGCGTAGTCCAAGAATGGACAATCTAGCTTTCTTAAACACCCAAATACCTACCGCGGGCGACACCCATATTGGGCCCCATCTTGAGCCTTGAATGCACGTGGATTGTGGTACTCCAGACTGCATCACAGGCAAAATGTCCAGGTATGAACTGCATAGTGGCTGCAAGATAGTCGCGGGGCTGATAGCTTTCCTCTCCTGGATAATCTGAAAAGGGGGGAGGGGCATATTATTCCACAGATTTGCTCTCCTCCACTTTTCAATAGCTAGCCCAAAAATCAAACACAAATATTTTCTATACATATGGCCATCCCAATCAAAATCCAAACATACAATAGATATTTTAGCCTTGCAGAAAAGTATGGAAATATATAACCAGCAATGGGTGAATGGAAACATAAGCAAGATTTTCATCTCAAGATACTGCCATAAATCTTACAGAATTAAAAAAAAAGGGGGGCGGTGGGGACACGACTTATGTTCTTGTTATTGATGAGAAGTCTGTTGATGTAACTGGAATACAGCAAAATATAGGTAATCCTAGCTTAATAACCATAATGGGGACCACCAAATCTGTCACTAACCTCAAATGCAAGACATTATGCGACCAGAACAGAGTTACATTCTCACTTCCACTGTTAAACTAATCCCCTGCAATAATTAAATCAGCTGTCACATGACCACAACTTCCAATGTTACTGCTGGCGTCTTTGTTGAGCCTGCTTGTTGGAAGCTGACTGTAAACTCTGCAAATGGCAAGTGTGACTGTGAGAAATTGCTATGGTCATAAATGCCTTGTTGGTTTCAAAGTGCCAGAATCTCAATCAGGTGACGACTGCAAGGGTTGTTAAGGAGGAGAACTCCTCATAAAAGTTGCTTTTCAGCATTGTTATAACTCTGAATGGTTGCTAAACAGAGCAGTCATTAAGCAAGGATCAATTTTAAGCTCCTACCATCAGGCCCAGTGCGCTGCCGATAGGTATAAGGTGTTTCACTTTTCCAGATGTCCTCCTCACTCTCAGCAACCAACAGAGAATTACAAATGTGGCTATCATGCAGATCTTGTAGCAGCAATCGCTTTAAAGAGAAGGGGGCAGGAAGCATTAATGTAATTGTTTCCTCACATCAGGAACAGTTTTTGGCTCCCCCTGGTGTTTATTAAAAACTGCTCAAAGAAGTAGGAGTTTGTAAAAAAATGTGAAGTTTTCTTTAAGCTGAATCCAATTCTTGTTGACTCCACAGACACATCCATGGAGCTTCCTTGGTATGAATGTAGAAGTAGTTTTCACTGTCTTCTTCCGCAATGCATTTTTTAACCTCTCCATCTGTTCTGTGTTTATTTATTTGATTTATAAAGCTGCCCATCTTACACACGGCTCTAGGTAGCTTACAATAAAATACATAAAATACACAACGTAAAAAAATAAAAATAAAACTCATAGTAGCTGGGCATCATCCAACCAAGCACCACATAGCCAAAAGATGGACTCTCACATGCTCGGGGCCCCGGGCTCAGGCCAAACCCATATTCAGATAGAGTCCATTGGGGAGGCTCGGACCATAAATAGCCTGGTCAAAAGTCACAAAGGGACTGAAAGTGACAACCAACATCTTGAATGACCCCTGGAGGCACCCAGGAAGCAATGCACTTGTGAAGCAATAGTGCCACATATGCTGAGTAACTGGTGTCAGTAACTGTCCATGCCAGGACATTCTGCACTAGGTGAAGTGCCTTCAGCTCCATATAAATTGCATTGCAACAGTCCAATCTTGAGATCACAAGGGCATAAGTGACAATGAACAGGTCCCCACCAGTCTAGGAATATGTACAACAGATGCACACTCTAAATACACAGTGCCAATCAGGTCATTCCCCCAATGGGATTTGTTCTTCCAGAATCTATGCTGAATTCCCTTTCCTCTACCTGAGAAAAAGCAGACATTAAGGTGATTGCTTTACCCTTTCTTAATTTGGTTAGTTTTTAATTGATTGGTGGGACAATTTTTAAAAAAGCGGCTTGTAGTTGGGTTTCTCACTCATAAGAAAGCACTATTCCTCCACGAAACTATGGGATAGCTTGTTATCATTTAAGGAGCAGGCTTTATAGTGCCCTATTTACCTGGTTAACAACACGACAAATTTCTCCAACCTTCTTTACCATTGTCCGGTGAAGTTGAATGCATTCTCCTTCCTCATTTTGTGTTGCTTTTATTGCATTGTAGCTGCTATAGAGAGAGGAAAAAGAGAAGTGTCAGAACTTGACTCATGAGGAAACTTCAATTTCCAAGCATAAAGTGCTATTATCTTCCACTTTGGTGTCCTCTAGATGCACTAGACTAGTGTTTCTCAACTTTCAGAAGTGTGGGCTTCAACTCTCAGAATTCCCCAGTCAGCAGAACTCCACTAAACTCCACTACTTAATTTCCCACCCCAGTAGAATTACAGGAATTGCAGTCTATCCAAGGTAATATATAGTTGGCACAGATTGGGCAATACACACACAAAGTTGTGGCAACACCACTTTCTTTCATTATATCACTGAATGAATATGATAAATGCAAAACAAGGATGAGAGGAAAGCAGCACACTGACAGATGCTTAGAATTGATTTTGGGTGTGAAATTCACAGCCAATAATTGCTGTAGTATCTCTTTCACAGTTCGAGCTCCCCAAATTGCTCATTCACAGATCATCCAGTTCCATGTCAGAAAAATCATTCAGGGGAATTGCTTTCTCATCTCTGCTTAGGGAGCCATGAGAATCAGGAACTTACCGCGTATGGGAATAAACTTCAACCCGATCCTGGTGAATCTTGATGATCAGCCAGAAGTCAGGTATCAGAGGGCACCTGGATTCTAGGTCACTCATCACTGCCTCCTCGCCTTCAGAATCACTGCTACCTCCATCATATCCTGGGAAATAAAAATGTATCCTGCTATCTGTGAAGAGTTCAGTCAATTAATCCTAAAAGTATCAGAAGATTCTTGGGGAGGCCAATGATTCTATGTTGTCAGGAAATCCTAGAGGGATATTTCCCCAGTTCTCCAAAACTGCCCCCACCCCCAATGGCAAAGATGCATCCACTCACCAAGAAGATCAGAATCCATGCTTCCCTGGCTTGACACCAAACTTTGCACTTGACTAAGCTGTTGCTTCCTATAACAACCTGTAAAGAAAGCGTCAGGTGTCCTTAAGAAACTTCTCCCAAAGTGAAAGATTCCTCATGTCCCTGAGGAGAATCTTTGCCTTAAACATCAAAATTGACAATCTGGCATCTCAAGCATCAAAAAAAAAGCATGAAAAGAAAAGGATGCAAGCATACTAAAAGTACATAAAGTATTGTTTTTAAAAATCCTGACCACTGCACAAATTATGTGATTTCAGAAATTAAGCAAGAGTCACTTCATACCAAAATTGAAATACAAGACATGCAGTAGTTTTCTAGAACTGCAGTCTCATGAGCTCAATGGTACTAAAATGATCTAGATTATAGAAAAATCAATCTTGGAGTAAGACTATGAAGAAAAGCATTTTAACAGACACCCACTGAAGATCACAACTTATGGTGTAACAGTCAGGGCTAAGGAAAAGATGATGGCCTGTACATGGGAGTTTTTAATCAGTGTGAACTGCTATATTTTTGTTCAAAGAGTTTCAATAAGCCATATAAAATACTAGGGAGAAATGCAGACATGCAACAGCAAATGAATACAAAACATAAAATATGTTAGATCCTCTCTCTCTCACACACACAAAAGTATATTTGACTTGAAAATTGAATTTCAGTGTATAACATTTAAAAACAGCTCAAACGAGTAAAAAGCCTTCCAAATCTATAATGTTAATTATCATTCATAAAGTAGTATATCAAGAATAAAGTCAACCAGTAAAGATTTACTGTATTTTAAAATCAAATGTAACCCCAAAGTAACATTGATTATAATTAGTTCTATTGAAGCAAGCAGAACAAAAGCAGCCAATTTGGTCTAGCGGTTAAGGTATCAGGCTAGAAAGCAGGAGGCTATGAGTTCAAGTCCTGCCTTAGCCATGACTTTGGCTGTGTGACTTTGGGCCAGTCACTTTCTCTCAGCCAAACCTACTTCACAGGGTTGTTGTTGTGAAGAAAATAGGAGGAAGGTGTGTTAGATAAGTAAAAATATTATTATTTGTAAAAATAATAAAGGTAGGCACAAAAAATAGAAATAAGTAAAAGAGCAGCACAAAAAGCTGCAAGAGTTGAATACCATGCCTATTTCAAAAGACTACATTTCATTTTGAAAAAATGGTCAGGAAGTCATTTTACATTTCGTAATTGTGAATGCTTGGTGACAGTTTCTCACCTTCCTTGCTGGGGATCACAGATTCTGTTAAATTTGGTGCAGATGGTGTAGCTAACAGAGATTGCTCACTGCTCCACTTGTCTGAAAAGGAGGCCTGAGGTTGCACCTGCGTCAAAGTAGTTTCCTCAGCTGGACAACCCTGCTCCAAAATACTGGTCTGCTGATCCACAGATGTTAATTGGTCTGACACCTGCATCAATAGAAAAGATGCAGAGCAAAGTTCTACTGATAAAGATAGTCCAGGATGTTCCCTCAACAGTCACCTTTGTGGTCCCATATCAATGACCATTACATTTCTCATCTGTTTCGATCATGTCTAACACTTACCTCAACAGGTACTTGGTTACTTATGCCCAGACATTCTCCAGTCTTGTTTTCATTTGCTGACCATGCCCAGAGACTTTGAGCTTCGTCGGGGGGAGTAGAACAGGGTAGGGAGCCTTCTGTTTTGCTGCTGCTGTCACACCGGCCTCCTGTCATAGTGCTCTCAAGAGTAACAGAAAGGCTGGGTCCACTTACTGAGGCATGTAGGCGACTGACAGATGCATAGTAGAAATCACTCCCCTCAGGATTGAGGACATAGCCAGGTAAGGGCATTTTCTGGAACTCCTAGAAGCATCCAAACAAAGAAGAGAGAGCGGGAGGGGAATCTACTTTGTAGGCCTAAGCCAAGTAAAGGAAGGACATCGTTGGGTGGATGGTTGGGAAGCTGGTTTTGTCAAACTGCTGGTTCCCTGTGGCTACTGAGGTTAGGGCACAAATAGCAGAATGTCTGGGTCTATACTGAGGGAAGTGGGGAGTCACTTCCAGGGATCCAGGCAGTTTTGTAGGGCTCATTATTGGAGAAAGTGGTGCTATCAATTTTGAAAGGGTTTGTAGTAAATTCCAGCTCTTTTCTAGGTGTGTCCATGTTCACTAAAGTGACTCTGGGCAGCTAACAAAATCTTGGCAAAACAGACTTTGTACACTGCACTGAGGCACTGTTACAATTGCAGTGTTGTCTCTGGATAGAACACCACTACCCTTGAGAGAGCAGGGTACGACAGTCCTCCTAAACTTATTACCACACGACAGATGGAGGTTTTCATTCAGCTGCTTGGTATGACAGTTACAACCATAAAGTAAAGGACCTTACACAAGTTGCTTGCGTTTTCAGTATTATTATTTTTTCTACAATAATGTATCCCATGTGAGGCTGTTTCTGAAGATAATTCAGAAGCTACAACTAATCCAGATTAGCTGTTGATAATTGGTATTCGTTGTCATATATTGGCATGAGAGTATTAGATTGTTGGTTCAGAGCTTGCATTGGCTTGTGGGTATAATTCAAAGAGCTGATTTTAAACTATATGCTACTTGCAGGATTATCTTCTCCAGACAGAGTCCACCTGCCAGACTCATATATCCCAGGAGAAACCGTCAGTCACTCCTCACTTCCCTGAAGTGAGTGGGGGAGCTGAAATTTGCAGATACAGTTTTTCAGTGGGTACGCTATTATGGAGCAGCATTCCCCTGGAAATCCGTGCTCCATTTTGCTGGATTTTTATGTTAATTTAAAAAAATCTATTTTAGAGATTCTTTGAATTAAGTGGTACCATTAGTTTTTTGGCTGCAGATAAGTTTGGGTTTTTGTTTTATTTTTATTACTCATTAATTTTAATTTTGGCCTGGGATGTTTCATTGCATTATTATTTCTTATAGCTTCAATAAGTACTGTTGAATTTTTTTTATTGTGAAATGACAACTATGGTCTGGTTTAACATCCAAGGCAGAGATGTACAACTTTTCCAGACCAAAGGGCTGCATTTAAATTTTGGCATCCAAATGCCTACTTCAGAAATAAGCAGGGCTGGGATAAACAAAAAACAAAAAAAAATCTAAAGAAGTCCCTAAATTTGACTTATTCATTAAAATACTCCTGCCTGCCACATATTTGGTATCTATTCTCTTCTATGGTATACAACGTAATTATTTTCCTGAACACATGCAACTATTATACATGCCCTGGAAAAGGGAAGGTTTCTTCTAGCAGCAATCACCAGGCAGAGAGAAGGAACTGCAGGTGGATTTAAATGCTCCTGCTTGCTTCAGATCTGGATGCTGTGCACCAATTGCTGGTGAACATTTTAGAGATTCCTTAGGCTCATAGCTCTCAGGCTTTTAAGAACTATGTGCAATCACAGAGCTTTAGGAATGTTCAATTTTTATTTAGGGATTGTAGACTATAGAAATCACATGGAATCTATCCAAAAAAACTATAAAAAGGCAAAGGGGTAGAATCCTGCTTACCTCACGAAACCTCTCCAGAGAATTCTCAGGCCCAAATACAAATTGCAGAGGGACCACCTCACAATGGCAGCTTGGGCGGCCTTGGGAACTGTAGATGTGAGAAGCTGCTTGACTCAAGATACTAGCAGTGACAGGCTGTGAGTAACGCAATGCTGACACAATCTCATCATCCAGGAGCCAACGGATCTGAGAAAGGAGAGAGGAAAGTCCAGATCATGGAATGGAATACTCTCCAGTAAGAGTCTGTTTCTAGCAACTGCATTCCTACCAAGAATGATTCGTAGCCAGGCCATGCTCTAGTGCAGAAGAGCAGAGGAAGGCAGAGGAACAAGGATAATGCCCAAAGTTTGCAGCTGCCCCAATCCCAGGGGCAGATAGACTCACTTCTGTCATAGTGGCTTCAACAGCTTGCCTGTGCACTGCAGGAAGATTGGAGAGTGCTGGATGCCTTGAAAACAAAATGAGAATGCACACACTACCTAAGATTCTTCCATTCATACATCCTAACGCAGACATTGATAGGGAAAAAAATATATAATACCAGTCGGTGGAGGAGGATGGCATTCTGTCCAAAGTGTGCATAAGCTCATCATCTGAACGGAAAGAAGAAGGCTGTCCTGGGGAACGGGTGAAGGAGACGCTGCTCTCAGAGGTGTATCTGTGGAAAGAAAGAAAATAATACCTGATTCTGAACTTTTTTCCAGGCTCCAAAACTCCCCAACCCTTTGATAAACGTGAGTTCCCACCTATTGTGATGTAAATCATTCACCATTTCGATCTCCAGAGGAACAGTCAGGACAAAAATGTCAAGGGTCACACAAAGGTCAGAAAGGTCAATTGTGTGAAGTGCCTTAGAGCTTTCAAGGCCGCCCAGCACATCTCCTACAGAAAATTAGCAGATATTATTCACAGAGACCCTTCTTTATGCTTCTTTGCCAAATGCTCAGGGAGAGGTTGGGGCTCAGTCACAGGACTCCATTAATCCACATTTCCTTTGGGAGTTTCTATCTGGCCATATGCAATGTCTCCCATCATTCCCATCCCAAACCTTCATCTTGTTTGTTTTTGTTCACCTAGGCAGGTAGGTAGTGAGCAAACAGGCATGGAACAGTGCTGGCTGCGTAGCTTCACAGAACAGGTCAAGTGCATAAAGAGGGGAGGCATGTCTTGCTCCAGAAGTTCCTGTTCTGCCAGGGAGTCTCCCAGGACACTGAAGGAGTCGTCATCCTGGTTAACAGTGTTGGAGTCTGACAAGGAGCCTGCTTCTAAAAATTCTTGGTCCAAGCGCTCCCGATATTCTACCTCCAGTTCTGGGTCACTCTCGGTGCCAATGGCATAGCTGGATGTATTCCCTATTTAAAAAAGAATGCATCGATCAATTTCAAAAGAAGTTGTCAAAGTACCGGATGGGATTTCTTCTATAAAAGTGGATCAGTCCTCCTTTAAAAGTGTAGCCTAAAAGGATTAAATAGTGTATATTAGCAAGATAAATTGGCTTTGGATAAAAAGGACGGCACTAATAGTATTAGCAATAGCACTTAGACTTATATACCGCTTTATAGTGCTTTACAGCCCTCTCTAAGCGGTTTCCAGAGTCAGCATATTGCCCCCAACAATTTGGGTCCTCATTTTACCCACCTCAGAAGGATGGAAGGCTGAGTTAACCTTGAGCCTGGTGAGATTTGAACTGCCAAATCCAGGCAGCTGGCAGTCAGCAGAAGTAGCTTGTAATACTGCACTCTACTGCGCCACCGTGGCTCACAACCACATGCAAAAGTACACAATGGTAATTTATATCAAAAATATAAAGTTGTGAGTATGAACTAAAATCATTACAGTGATTTATTAAACAATGGCCCAGCAGTATCTGTATGGTTGGCTAATCAGTGATTGATAACATGGCATGTAATTCTGTTAAAACTGAGATTAACATGCTGTTTTCCATTTGTAGAGATTATATTTCCCAGTGTACTATGGTACACTTGGCCATATAGGCTATGATTTGTTTCCCCTCTGCAAAACTATCTTCTCTGAACTATTTTGCCCACTTCATATTATTATTGGTTCTAGCACAACATTTAGTTTTCTTATAAACCAGCAGGCATATGGCCGGAGATGTACAGGATTCTTTATGGAGAGTATGTGTCCTAGAAAATCAGGACATTTGACTGATGTTTGCTCTTTCGACTCATCAAAAGCATCCTTGCAATTCTATGGATACACACAAATGATTGCTTCAGAGTAACAGGAGCCTCTTACCTGAGTTCCAACCTTTAAGATAAGGGCAGGGAATGTGCTGCTCCCTGAGTGCTGTCATTGGCCGTAAGCCATACTCAGCACAGCCAATAGCAGAGAGTGATGAGCTCTGCGATCCAATCTGCAATCCGAAAGGCTACAGATTCTCACTATTGATATAAGATATTATGTTGGACAATGTTTCTGCTAGAGGCTTCCAAGATAATTTAGATGAGTTAAATGAACTAAGAATCTTTCTGTCGGTAACAAGTTAGTCTAGGAAAACTGAAACACACAGCAATCTTAACTGATCATATCGTGGCCAAAAGCAAGAAATACAAGTGTAGCTGGGGAGACAAAGAAAACAGTCTGGAGGGAACGGTAGCCCTACTGGCTCTCTGCCTTCACTCTTCCAAAGCATTGCTCAGCTAGGATCCTGCTCTCTGCAGCTAATTTGCTTACCCAAACAAAAATATGATTCAGCAAAGCTGGGTAGCCAGATATTCTCTCGTAGCAAATTTCATTCAATCAAGGGTGTGATGGGAAAATCCCATTTAGAGTCCATCTCTTTTCTGCTGACTCTTCCAGTTTTTTCCTATAATGACCACACTATGGTGTAACTTGGGCTGAAAGTAGTGACCGGTGCAAAAAGAGTTTCTGTGACTGAAAGGTACACTTAAATCTGGGCTGCCCCTGCCCTAATTCATATTTCCACAACTGCAATATTCATGATCAAATTATCAGACTGCACCAAGCACACCATCTCCAGCTCCAAATTTCACCTCAGTGAGTACAGAAAACTTTAATACCTTCATCAGTTGCCAGATCATTTTCTGAACTCTCCACATCTTCGCTGCCTTTTCTGTCTTGATGGTCCCGTGAAACCTCTTCCTAAAATTAAAACAAAAACAAAAACTCTCCGTGTAACATACCCAACGTCTTTGTATTGAATTCTTCTTTCAAGTTCAAGTCCTTTCACAGGCTCTCCCAGAACAGAATGATGACAGAGCTATAAACATATGTTCCTACCTCTTTTTTGCTGGAAGGCGGGCAATAGAAATAGTAATGGGGGTTGGATGGCACTGGCTTAAAATATAAGCTGCTAATTTCCAAGAATTTCTCCTGGGTGGAAAAGAAGAAAGCAATAAAGGTGGTGTTCTCAACTTTTAAAAAGCTTTAAAATATTACCTCACTCAACATGAAGCAACCTTCTGCTTACCTGGATGATCCCTTGTAAGTCAGGTTGTACTTGGCAAGGTTGTTTGCTGTCTAGTAGCGAGAGAGGGAATTCTGAGTCACAGCTTTGGTGGGGCTCTTGGGAAGGACAGGCAGAGCCATGGGAATCTGCTTCACTGAAATCCTCTGTTTCAGCACTATGGCAGGGTTCAGAAGAACAAACCCGGTCATGTCTATGTACCCTTTCTTAAGAACCACCCCACAGCGTAATTTTTCTTAGTGGTTAGACGTAACAGTATACCCACAGAGGCTTACAGGATTGCTTTAAGAGAAACAATTTTGCTGGAACAGGCACTATGATTTTGGCAAAATGTTCTACATAGGGTTGCCCTTCAATACAATGCAGAAGTTCTAATTCAGGGGTTTCCAACCTTGGCCACTTTAAGACTTGTGGACTTCAACTCCCAGAGTTCTTCAGCCACCTTAAGGAACTCTGGGAGTTGAAGTCCACAAGTCTTAAAGTGGCCAAGGTTAGAGACCCCTGTTCTAATTGGTCCAGAATGCAGCAGTGTGAGTAGTAAAGGGCATAGGCAATTATAGCTGTACAATGCTACTATTCTGAAATAATAGTAGCATTGTACAAATGCTGTTTGTACAACAGTACAAAGATACCCAATTTTTGCTTTATTTTCCCCATTCAGACAAAAAAGTCATTTTTATAGATGTTTTCAAGAATCCTTGTTGACAGCTTCTCTTTCTCTCTAGATACATGTTTTATTTTATCTTTCTATCTCTCATTAATTTGTTCTAATTGCCAGTATTTTTAATGGTTTCATGATCTATTTGTAATAATTCTCTAAATCAGAACTTGCTCGTAGTACTTAGGAAACTATAATCTTAATTGTAGCCCTGAAAGCCAGTTGCCTCTCCAGAGTCAGAAAAGCAACATTCCAGCCATAATATTGTATTATTGCTTCTAGCTCTATATTCCTTATACTGTATCTCAAATATAGTAGCAAATAAGTTGTCATAAATAATAGATACTGGGAATCCACAATTAAAAAAAAAATTCTCTACTACAGTTGCATATGTTGCTCTATCAGCTATTAAGACTAAGACAGAACAAGCACATGCTGTGTTGACACAGCTATCCGTCAGTCAAACTCATGGTAAATTATTTGCTTACTTTTAATACAAACCAAATTGAAATTCAACTCTTCTTAATCTTAATTTGGTTCTAAGTCATAAATAAGCAGATCACACGAAAGCTTAGCACAAGACGTGAACCTTAGGCAGTCCATGAAATTTCTGATCAGAAATTATAAACGACAGAGGCACCTCCTTTTACTTCTCATAAAATAATGTTTTGTCCCACAAAGTTTGATTTATCCACAACATGTAACATCTACATTCTCCAATCATTTTTTAAAACCCTCAAATATGCACTATAGGGCATGAAAGCTGCATAGGAGACGTTGGGTCAGGCACTCTCTCTCTCAGCCCAACCCACTGCATAGGGTTGTTGCAGAGAAAGTAGGAGGAGTAAGATGTATTATGTATGTCCACCTCCTTGAGTTACCTACAAGGAATAAAAGGTGGGATAAAAAATCTAATAAATAAAACTTACTACTATATTTGTCTAAGATAACTTGAAAGCCATATTTGCATATAACACTAAATCATAAGCTATTTTATGGAGCCTAGAAACCAGCCTGTGCAAAGCCCGGGCTCATTCATTTCCCATATTCCAGAACTCAGAGAAGGAAAAATCAAACACTCAGTTTTGCTTGGTCAAACTCTAGCTTGTTAAATAACCAGCATAATATGTTTATTTCTGGCTTGTTCATCAACATGGATTTACAAATCTCTTAAAGGGAAATTCACTTGTGCAATATTTCTTTTCTTGGCATCATAAAGAAGAGAAATGTGAAAAGTTCATATACTCCTTGCTCTGCACACAGGGCTAAACCATAGTTAAGGAATGTAGAAATCAAACATTTTTTTCCTATAAAGAAAGATTAGCTTTCAATTAAAAAATAATTATTTCATAAAGTTCTAACTGAATAACCTTTACCCTTGGCAATTTGAAAATACAGACTATCTGAACTTCACATAAAAATGTCCAAATTATAAATTAATATCATTCAAATATTAGAGTAAAAAGCTATACATACATGCATTTTAATAATTTATGCTATTTCTGTAAGCAATATAATGCTTCAAAATTCTGTCCTTTGCTAGATTTTGCGCTAAGCACCATATTTCCTCATAAGATTAACCTGCCTTAAATATTTTAGCACACTAAATTTTCTACAGGCAAAAAGTTATAAAATATGAAGGAACAGCATAAGATAAAGTTGCTAAGCAGTTGGGTGGGGAATGCAAATCTATAGTTTGAGTAAAGAAATTACAAAAATATATAGGATGAATAATCACTATGTTATTATAAATGAAACAAAGAATGTTCTGGGTCTTTAAGACTAAAAAAACATCACATTTCACTTATAAAAGCTTATGTGTGATAACAATTTTGTTATTCTTAAAGTGTCACATGACCTTTTATTGTCTCTGCCACAAAAGACTAAATCAACTAACCTTGAAAGCTAGCAGGTCAACCTAATGAATCATACTAACAATCTAACTCAGCCCTACAAAATGAAGTTGTCAGTAATTTTTGAAATTGTTTTCCTGATTATTTCCAAGGTAAGGGCATTTTGGGGCTTTTAGATATTGCATGCACTTTTTTTAACTAAGTCCAGATTATTCACAGGTTTATATTTATCTCTGAGCTTCTACCTTTTATTTTGGGACCTATGATCTAACAACTGGATTACTTCCTCAACTTGCAAAACCTAATTCCATCTTCTACCTCCTCCCTCCTTCCCCCCCCACACCCCCATTTCTCTTATACTTTCTTCTGACTTCTGGGTTGCCCAAAAGAAAACAGAAGATAGGTCTGTCAATCATTTCAAAAACTTGAGACAACAGTGCCAAAGCATTAATTTAACATGTACTATTAAAAGAGACACGTTTAGGTTTCTCTCTGATTTTATTTTTTTTACCCTTCACTTTAATCATTTTATCATGTGATAAAATTCCAGTGAAAAGTCTTTCCAAACTTTTTTTAAAGATTAATTTCATTATTATGTGAAGATTTGCAAATTCCTCCTATATTTTCAGTATTGTTATTCTTATATATTTTGATACCTTCTTTTTCCTTGTGTAAAATCCTGAAAAGTCACAGAACCAACATGCTAAATATTTACCCTGGGTCAGTACTAGACTGACTACAAGCAATTCCTTCTGTTTTTCTTCTTCTTTATATCAAATGCTAATCCTACCTGGAAACTGAAGTTAGTATGCCACGTGGTTTGGATGCTTGATTTCCTTCTAAGCTGACAAGCAGTTGCTGCTGGTGGCGCTCACAGAAGGTGCGCACATGACTACATAGTGTCATCAGGAAGCGAGTGATATCGATCTCCTGCAGAAGTTCCTCACAATAATCCATGGCTATTAGCAAATCAGGAGAGCTGATGTTGTGACCCTGCTGAAGACTCCGAAATAGTCCTGTCAAGAGAGGAACATAAATATTAACTGTCCATGCAAATGTGCCTTTGATGTGTCTTCCTGAGTAGCAGGAAGGACAAATGTTAAAGAGAAGGCATCCCAGGGTCTGAGGTTTACTGGGGTATAGATTTGTTACATTAATATGGCAACATCCAGCCTTTTCAGGTACCCCAGGTACTAGGTTAAGGCTAGGACAAACATAAGGTGACTTTGTTGCATAAAGTGTAACATCCCAGTTTTTCCAACCTCATCATCCCCAGCAGGATAATTCTGTCCCTTACCTTTCACATAGCACTGGTGAGAATGTTCCTGTAGCAAAGTGCAGTAACTCACCACTTCCTTGTGCTTGGAATCTAACCAAGGAGCACTAGTGGGGCGCTCCACAGACTGGTTTCTGGAAAACAGACATACTCAATAAGCCTAAGAAATTCATCATCTAAAGGAGGCTCCAAATGTCTACCGAGTGCTTGTGTTGAAGTTAGGACCACTGAAACATGAATGCAACATCTGGAGATAGATTGATCTCCAGATGTTGTATTCATGTTTTAATGGTCCTGACTTCAACACAAGCACTCAGTTGACTGTACATAGCTTTACACATGTTTTTCTGTCAACTGTTAGGATACTAAGTCCTGATTACATCATCCTTTACCTCAGTCCAAGATCTACCTACTACTTGTACAGATGTTACTGAATTTCTTGCATGCTTCAAGCTGACCTCACCTGAAAAAGATATCCCGTAGATATTTTTCTGTCCTAGAATTTATCATCTGCTCCCGTAGCACCTCCAAGGAGCAACTGTAGACAAAGACAGGACAGCGAATTCGGCAGTTCTCACCCAGGTCAGGCTGAGATGCTTGACGGCCGAAGGAGATGCGTCCTTCTTTTTTGGATCCAGCATCTGGATCTCCTATAGTCTGGCCAGTTTCTGCAAATTAAATGTATCTTGGGAATGAAACAGTTAAAATATAAATGGTTTAAAAAACATATTAACAATGGTTAAAATACAAATAAAAAGTATTCTCGCTCTAACCTGGATACAACTCACATTGAACCTCAGGCATTCAAGCAACATGGCAGTCATGTACAGTTCATATTAAGGAGTGATGGTAATTTTCTAATTGTGACCTGACATGGCAGCCATGCAATCTCTTTATCCTGCCCAACATTCAACAGCTGTTATCCATTGTAAAATACTAGAAGTAGCAGAGCCCATGCTTTCCAAGCACAAGGCCCTAAGTCCAATCTCTGACTATTCTATTCCAGAGAAGATCAAAGAAGTGATAGAGAAAGCTTCTCCTATGACCACAGAGAGCTACTTCTAGTCAGTCAATAAATATCTAAACTGACAAATCATTGGACTGGAAATTGAGCAACTTACCTGCTCTTCAAACCATCATGTGAAGTGTAAAAGACAAGGCTGAATTTTTAATTTGTACATGGTTTGGTCTCAGGCAGATTTCCTTTTCTAAGTTTATTGCTTAATTATACTCATTAGTTAAATGGGTGCCAAAATGAGTACTAGTAGCTATAATTACCTGGATATTAAATTTACCTCCATAAGGTAATTATTGCTGGTGAGTGCTGTATAACACTAGAAAAAAACCTACCCCTTGGAGCAGGAAGCACTCTTCATATGTCATGCCGCTTGGCAACATAGAGAATAGTATGATAAACTACAATAAAGATTTATTCTGGCTTACTATGAAAAGGTGACAACAAAGGTCTTTGCTATTAAACCATATGAGATTATGTGAGATAAAGAAATAAATCCATAATCATTCTTGGATAAGAATATATAGTTTCTATGGCAAATGACAGAGAACTGCAGAGGACCATCAATTCTGCTTCCAGTTCCTCTGAGGAATGAAAGAAGGCTGATTTGTTACTGTTTCTCCTACAGGAAGGAAGAAGATAGAACTCTGAAGACTATTCCTCTTCCCTGAGCTGCTTATAAATGCTTACATGCATGTATGACTTAGTATATAAGAGAAATAAATAACTGTTCATTTTAGATCAGTAATTGGAAGTTCATGCCTAAATTGGTCTTAGACAAATAAACCAAAGGCATCACCACAGGTCAAAAGTATGATAGCCAGAGATGCTTGATTAAAGCATCTTTCTCTGCTTCAACATTTAAGATTTCTGATCTGATTTAGTCTTAAGTTCAGCTTTCCCAAAATGGCACCATGCCCTTGCACCATTTGATTTTTCTGCCTTTGATGATCTACTGTTGTTTGCCTCATGGCAGCTAGTGTTTGCATGACTAGATTCCAGGACATGAAGAGTGAGGCTCCAAGCTCATATAAACAGCTGCACTAGACTCTAGTATATAATCATGAATGCTTATAATTGAATGTACTTTCTCCACTCAACATTCCCAAGCCCAACAAGGCAAAGAAGGTCCTTACCATCAGCTGGTGTTATGCTGACAGCTGGAAGCAAGGCCATAGGCTTCAGCTCTTGGGCTTCTTGGGGCAATGTAAGGTCTGTCTCTTTTGAGGTTTGGTCTGGCCCAGAAGTCATCAATCTCTGTACATCTGCAGAACAAAATAATTGTTAAAGATTGCAATACCAAAATATATCCACCATGGGATATATAAGATTGCAATACCAAAATATATGGGATATATAACTGATGTTTTGTCTTTGCCACCAGAAATGGATGAAATTATTATTAGGCAGCTAGGAAATGCGAACCACAAGAAAGTCCTTTTTCCCCTTAGGGCTATCAGTGGGAAAATAGTAACTCTGTGATACTTCTCTGGGCAGGCTTTTAACTGGCATATTATTTAAGCTTATAATTGTTTGGCTATCAGTATATATATGCTTTTCACATATCATTACTCATTTGTTAGGCAGCATAATGGATTCCATTTACCTTGTAACTTATACTGTTACATATATAAACACTTTCCGAGGGTAAATCAAAAGGGCAAGACACTGAACTCATTTTTAAAAAGCACAAACATTCCACTAAGAAAAGGGAATTAGTGAAACACGAAGTGAATTTAGCAACACAGGTTGCCGTATTTATACAAATGCAGGATTAGCTTTCATTCACATACCCTTTTTTAAATAGACTGTGTAGCACAGCAGGACAGCAAATGTATAGCACACAGGCACTTAAATATGTGTAATATGAATTAACCAAAAAGGAATTACACGCCCCCCCCCCATTTATTTAATTTCTGCTATCAAACCTAATTCCATTGCTGAAATGAAGAAAATTCAATGAAATGAAAAGATAAGGAATGGACTGTTATTGCTGAGCTCTATGAACCCAGTTTATATAAAAATAGCCCCAATTTCTTTAATAAAAAGAACATCCTTTGTACCTGAAGCATTTTAGGCTTATAGTTAAAAAGCAAAGTAGATCTTGCAAGCTTAAATTCTGTTCATATCATTCACTACAATATACAGGCAAATACCTGTCTCATTTCTTTACAACTGAAGAACCAAACTTCAAACTTCTCTTGCATTCCCTAGATAGCTTTAAAAGCAGAATCCTTTACCTGAGAACATCGCTGGCAAGAAGGTAAGGAAAAGATGCTGTGGATTTACCAGCTTGGCATAACATCTCCATTGGGGAAAGAATGTAACAGATGTTGGTGAGATATCATTTTTTGACTCCTTTATATTAACTGGAGCCTGAAAGAGGAAACATAACTGCATTATGGCATAGCTTTCAGGTATGGCTGTCTTATTCTCCATCCTAATCAGGAAGCAAATGTACTGTTATTTTTGGTACCAGAAGTTAATTGCTCCCATCATTTAGTCATTTAGATCTTAACATCCATGAGTGGGAAACTTGTGGCTCTCCAGATGCTGAAATAATACATTTAAACATGCCTCATAATTAGCTATTCTATTTGTTGCTGCAGGGAGCTGTGGTACAACAAAATCACAAACTCTTCATCCCTGCTACATAACGATATTTGAAATGTTGACACAGAGCTCAAAAGATCATTGTACCTGATATGTACTTGCAGAAGTAGCTGTATCTTTGTTGCCAAAAGAGTGATAAGTATTTTTCGGATTCTGGCATTCAGAAGGAACGGAAGCCTTTGGGAGTTCTTCTGGAAAGGAACACGTTGGTGAGGAAACCATCAGAGGAATAGCTCAAGGAAGAATCAGTTACTGTGTCTCTCTTACCTTGGACAGTAGAGAGCTTAAATGGGGGTGGGTGTCCATCTCTGTCTCGCTGAAGCACCTGCTCCATGAAAGTTAAATGATCTGTGTCCAATAGTGTGATTTCCCTGTCACTGAGGTCATGCTGGAGACAGCCATGAAAAAGGCCAAGAAGCATTTCATTGGGCAAGAAAGAAGAATCCTTTATGATTCCATCATTTGCTACAAGACAATAAAAACTATGAGTAAATCTTTCTCCTGTTGCTAGGAAAACACAGCAATTCAATTTATATAGATCTGATAGCCTAGATAGGCAAAGATCATCTAAAGTTTCCCTACCAGTTAAAAATAAATCCCACACAACAGAAATTACACAGTAAGAAATATTAACTGGTAGAGATTTTCCCATCAAGCTTATTACATTTTCAACAACATCAAATTATGAGAGCAATGTCAAGTTTGCTCAGGAAACACATTTGAACAGAAAACTCTTATTAAGGCCACATGTTGGTGAGATGGGGATGTTCAAAAGAGGATGGCACACATTACAGATGTGATCATCTTCATTATTGCTTAATATGTTTCAGAGGTGGGAAGAAATAATGAACTGATACCCTTTCCTTGATGCATATACACACAACTTGCCTCTTGTCAGCATCAAAAAAACCATCTCAATTTGCTGGCATTTTGGTAAAAGTTTCATGAGGTCAAACTGGAAAGGAATCTCATGTATACGGGAGCCACTTTGAGCATCACGACCTACAGCAGAAAATAAAAATAAAATGTCATATTCAGAATTAAGTCCATAGGATCTAATAAAGGATTATCTAGAAAGCATTAAACAAACCAATTACCTTCAACAGCAACGGGCCTTAAATCGCATGCTGGAAAAACCCAGTCCTTATTTTGGCAAAGTTGGCTGATGTACTCAAAAGCAAGCACAGTATGGATGCAGGATAGATCTCGAGGATAGATCTGAAAAAGGAATCTGAAATAAAATAGACTGGAAAACCTATTCAATAGGATTCAAAACAAGTTTCAAAAATGCATTCAAAATGATACAGCAATGCAAGGATAATTCAGAGCCAATTATATAAACATAAGCCATGGCTCATTCCTCAGTGAGACAAAACCTTCCCAATCATTTGGATGCATAGGTTGCTTTGGAATAACTGTTTCACCTGTTGCCCACATACAGGAAGCAATCCCTGTCTTAATCCCTTTCAACAAAAGAGATTCAGCAAAAACCAGCAGATTGGCTGCCAGTCAAACAAATGCGGCCTCTCCACAGCACAAAAACATACCGCTTTGGGGATTTTCTGGTAGGATAAGCCATGTAGGTACTGCCAACTCTCCTGAACACCATCCACATAGCCGCTTTGAGGTTCAATCCAGCATTCTGTGACAATGTTCAATTCCATGTCCACCTCAATTGCCTCCACTTCTGTATCATTATCTTCATCTGTAGAGAAACTTGAAAGCAAGCAAGTAACGTGAGAGATTCCACAGAAGGCTGATACAGGTATTCTATTCCTGAGATAATTAAACATGCAAATCATCCTTAAATATTAAACATATACAGTAGCTTACAAGCAAATAAGTTGGCTTTCCAGTTCAGTTCCAACCCTGTTTGCCTCCAAGCTTGAAACTAAAAGAAATTAACTTCAGCAGTCTTAGACTACAGTATATATCAAGGTTGCTTAGTTTATAGAACTCAAAACTAAAGTAATATGGCCCCTGGCCAATTTATTGGTGGCGGAATGAATATACAGTGTATTAGTTATTACATATTCCTTGTGAAATTTCTACAGCATTCTTTATTGCATCACGTTTTCACAATTCATTTTATGGAATGGCATTCTATTTCAGCACAGAGCGCTATGAAGAGATAAAGCAAAATATGATAAGCCAATCAACAATTTTATACATAAATCAAATGACAGTGTCGTTTTTAAAGCACTTTTTATTAATTTCAGGTTCTGGAGAATCACAGCTCTGGGTTTTTGGCAAATGTTACCCTGTGCTTCAAGCTCAGGAGGCCTATGGAGTATTAGTCCATAGACACACAAAAATTGGGTGTTCATTTGTGCTCATTTTGGAGAACTGGGGTGATCCAGAGTCACCCCACTAGAATTCAGAAGGGCACATAATGAGCAAACACAACTTGGTACAGTAATGTGAGTAAAATTGTAAATACCAAAACCTCAGATTTGCAATAAAGAGGGCATCTTATTGATCAATAGAATAAAAACTAAGAAGTGAATATTATCACACGTTTATACTTTATGATATACTCATAGACATTTACTGGTTTCAGAATGGATGATTTGAACACCTAAATATTATTTATTTATTATAAGGCTTATATGGTAATATTAATTCTGTAGTCAACACTCTCTTATATTAAATAAAAACAACAAATAAAGAACCACAAGATCTTCAAGTCAGTGTTATATTTCTGGGGAGGAGTGAGGTGGAGAATCTTGTGTGCACCAAAGGCTCCTTTGCAGTAGATAAAAGCTATTGGTTGGGATAGTTCAGGGGTATCAAACTTGCCACATCACGTTGCTGTCACATGATGTATCACAATGTTTCTTCTCTTTGTGGAGCTGGGGTGGATGTGGTTTGCATGTGACCCATCTGGCTCACGGGCCACCAGTTTGACACCCCTGGTATAGTTAGTTACCCCTTGGAAGCCTTCTAGTCAGGCACATTCTTACAATGGCTACAACAGATCCTAGGTGACCCTATTCCTTGTGTCTTCCTTTTAGGGTCAGGACTTCTTTTCTTACCTGTCTTTGGTAGATGTAGTATGTGGCGGGAATATCACATATTGGACAATGCAGGTATGCTTCTCATTGCCACTCACTTTTGTGGAGTCACTCTGTGGAAAAAAAAACAATGATAAATTAGTCATGTTCCTTTGCCACTTCTCTCCTAGCACAATGAGGTTCCAAGACTAGAGGAGAAGCAGTGCCAATTTGCCATAAAATTCTTGATCAAATCAAGAGCAGATTTTTTTCAGAATGTTATTTAATTTTTGGATGAGAGACCGTGGAGAAAAAACAAGGAGCATGTCTGACAATTATCTATGAATATCCCCTTCATAGTATTCCTCACACACCCATTTGTTGCTAGACTTCCCTCATCTTTTTCTTACCTTTATCATACCTAAATAAATTATTTTTTTTGTCACAGGTGTTTTTTGTATGGCAATATTTATACCACTTTGGGAAGGCTATACCATAATACATTTTGATATACCAAGGACTAAGATTTTTATTAAAAGAGCCAAATTCATGAAAGGGTTAAGACATCAGGCTAAAAACTGCAAAACTGAGCTCAAGTCTCATCTCAGGCACAAAGCCAGCTGGGTGACTTGGTCCAGTCAGTCTCTCTCAACTCTAAGAAGGAGCCAAAATAAATCACTTCTGAAATCTTGCCAAGGAAACTTCATGGACTTGTCCAGGAAGTTACCAAGAGTCAACACTGACTCGAAGGCACATATATCATATTTCTATGCACCCTGTTATTACCAAGTTCCTTTGAACAGGAAAATGTGGCACCACAGAAGATAACAAAATAAAACAAGCAACAGGCTTTACCTTCATAGGTAATTCTTGGACCATACTGACAATCCCTTCACCACTGGAAGCAAAATGGAAGCCTTCAGACAAGCGTATCCTGCATCATTTCGAAGAGAAGAATAAGATACAAGGCTATTGTATCCTGGTCTCCTATATGAGACAGAACATTTTGTTCACCCAGCTCAATGTTCTTTTCCCACAGTGAAAATGCAACGCGCCCACCCCCCTTTAACTCTTATACAGGTAGTTCTCGACTTACAACTGTTCACTTAGTGACCGTTCAAAGGTTACAACAGCACTGAAAAAAGTGACTTATGACCATTGCAGCATCTCCATGGTCGCGCGTTTTACATTCAGATGCTTGACATCTCACTCACATTTATGACGGTTGCAGTGTCCCAGGGTCATGTGACCATATTTGGCAAATTCTGACAAGCAAAGTCAATGGGGAAGCCTGATTCACTTATCAACCAGGTTACTAATTTATCAACTGCAGTGATTCGCCTAGCAAACGTGGCAGGAAAAATCCTAAAATGGGGCAAAACTCACTTAATGAATTTCTCACTTAGCAACATAAATTCTGAGCTCGATTGTGGTCGTTAGGTTGAGGACTACCTGTACTGGCAAAAGCAACTGATCTTCAGAGAAAGAAGTGACTCAGATATAATTGCTTTTCTAAAAAAATTTTATAGTTCCCCTATTTGTAAATTCCAACCTGTCTCAAGACGAAATAGGTACTTACTCAGTGAGAGTGGACAGTAGTTGGGCCACAGCTGTGATGGGCACTGCTGGGACCAGCCCTGACTGTACACACCAGATCCAGCGCTGGTGATAAAAGTAGCGAGATAAGGAGGCCAGGGTAGAGGAAGCTGTGCGATTGGCCACCATAGTAAGAGGACCTGACATGGGAGGATTCTCCAAGGGTAAAAGACATGGAACATGATAGTCAGAGGGCAGCTTTTCGTATCTGAGGATGAGAAAGAAGGATTGAGACAACAGGTGACCATGGAGTTGGATTTCTCATTATAGCAATAGCACTTAGACTTATATACCATTTCATAGTGCTTTATAGCCCTCTTTAAGCGGTTTCCAGAGTCAGCATATTGGCCCTAACAATCTGGGTCCTCATTTTACCCACCTTGGAAGGATGGAAGGCTGAGTCAACCTTGAGCCTGGTGAGATTTGAGCTGCCAAATTGCAGGCAACTGGCTGCAGCAGAGTAATTTGCAGTACAGCACTCTTAACCACTGCGCCACCAAGGCTCTTAATTATGAGCTCAATACACTACCTGTGCAAGACTTGTGAACTGGATGTTTTTGAATTATTCCCAGTATCTCCAACCAGCATGACCAGAAAATGAATTACTGGTTTGTTATGGTCATAAATTATACTATCAGTCCCCGCCTGTGCTTGCATATTCTCCTCCTTTTTATTTTAAAATTTAAAAAGTACTTAAAACTTTCTAAGATTCAAAAATCAAAGAAACTATGCAGAGAAAACAAAATGTCCCTCTCTATCCATGCTTGAATCCAGACAGGCACGCCATGTGTAGAGGGACATGTTGCACTCCAAACACATTTTATGAATTGGGAGACATATTGTCTATTTGCAGAGCATGCTGTATATAATTCTTTCAATAATATCTTGAGATACATTTACGTGAATGAATTAAGGTTCAAGATAAGACACCGAGGAAGCTCACAAACTTTATTTTTCAACCAAGCGTTCCAAGACAAGCCATTACACACATCCATCCATTGTCCATTGGATAAAGGAATACAAAAACTACAGCCAAAGTCCTCTGGAAAACAGCAACTAGGCTAAAGCAACTGCATCTCTGGGAATTAACATTCTGCACATAGGGATATAATAAGTGTGCATGTACATAATACCTGATAAGGAGTTTTTCTAGAGGTTTATGCAATACTATAAGGCAAGGTCTGTCTGAGAGGGGTGGCTGGGCCATAGGCAAACAAGATGATTTTGATGGGGAACTGCTGCCAAGGACCTTTCGCTTTACTTTTGGAGTTGCCTCTTTGCTCTGTACTCTGTGGGGGAAACGTAGCTGAAGGATACAGTCTCTCAGTTCTTCTACTATCTGTTGAAAGGCAAATAGATAGGAAGAAATCATTTTTATATAAGGAACTGGCACCACTCATAATAGCAACTTTTGCAGACCCCGAACTCCTCTGCAGCACACGTTCTCCTGCATTCCAACCTTTTACCACGTATTTTAATGCATTACTATGTTATTCACTTAATTTTTGTAACATGTAAATATATTTATTGTCTAGGCTTTCAATATGTTATGAACTTTAATTTTGCTTTTAAAAAGTTAAATTGTAGTTTGAATGTTGTAAAAATAATGAGAAAAATGCATATATTGAAAATCAATTTAAATAATAAAAACAACATAGCCATATTCAGTCCCAGAATTCCCTCAGAGGAGTGAGACTGTTCTTGTCAACAACGATGCCTTAAATGTTTTGTTAATAAATTCATCAGTGCCACAAGAACATTTCTTATGGAGCTGGTTTACTTTAAAACTGACCTAAAAAGCCAAATCCCGTTTCTTCTTAACACATTTTAGTTAGAAATGACTTGTTTTGCAAAATCTTATCATGTGGAAAGTGAGTCATCTAGCTACTTTCGGGTAGTGATTCCTAAATGCTATTTAAGGTCTGGAAGAGAAGCTTGTAACGTGACCCCTTTTAATACGCAACCTAAAAATACAGATGCATAACATGCTTCTTGACAATCCTAAAACTTTACTCCAAGGCTAACATCCACCAAGCACATTTTAGCTGTGTATTTTTTGCAATTCTAAATAACATTCACTGTGTCTCAAGCAAACTTGCTAAGCACTCACTTTATTCCTGAGTTTTGCAAGTGTCCCAATGGGGAAACCCAGCCGAAGAACCATGCAGGGAGCTTTGGAAATAATCCTCACCACATAAAATGAAAAAGGAGACAGATCTTCAGAGCTACAGTACAAGAAAGAAAAAGCAAATTGAATAAATTTATTGTGATACCAACAATAAGTGAAGGGACATTTTAGCGTATTTGTTGGACATGTGTTAAAAAAGCCAAGAGTTTTTGGACACAAGTACTAATTCAGAAGAATTTGAAGATTAAAGTATAACAGAAACTTTTCCTTTGGGAATAACTGCAGTGATGCACTTAACAATTGTGGCAAGAAAGGTGCTAAACTGGGGCAAAACTCACTTAACAAATGTCTTGTTTAGCCACAGAAATGTTGGGCTCAATCATGGTTGCAAGTGTAGGACTATTTAATGAATGAGTCTGAAATGTTTGTTGAGCTTTTCCTCTTAAAGAGTTATTTACTCAACATGATTGGTTAAATCTTATGCAAAAACCTTCTATCCCCATTGAACTGTATATCTTCATGGATTTCAACACTTCAGGCTCAGCTCTTTCTCCCCTCTGCCCTTGAATTTCCTCACCTGTGCATGAGTTTGACATAAGAGTAGCCTTCCACCAGCACAAAGCTACTCCAGTCACGCAGCAAAGAAGTCAGAGCTGAATGGGAAATGCGACACTGGATGGTGCTGTAACGACCATTGTTGCCTGGGGTGTGCAAATGCTTTGGGATTGGCCTGTCAAACAGATCAAACAGTTAGTTAGTGCCTGTTATTCAGGTACCATCATTATCCTCGATTCTTCCTACCCCATGAAAAATTCATGCAAGACCTTATTGTTCAACCTCTGTTGCCTCTCATCCCTCAATAACAATACAACAGCTGGTAAGCTCTGAAACTCTTGAAATGTTAAATATAATACCATGCCACATACAAGTCTTGTATGTTTTCTTGCACGTACATGTCATGTTCCAAGAGGATAACAATGCGGTGCATGTGCAACCACCTCTGCCAGAGATTGGCATCCATTGATAGGATAGGCTTCCAGTAGGCTGCAAACTGTGAGTGACTGGAGTCTGAGCTACTGTGCTGCAAGGACAGGACCTGAAAATGGCAGAAATCATATTTCATGAATCTGCTTGCATCTGTGCAAGTGGTTGTTTAAAGATTTTAGCTCAGAAAAACCATATTAGGCAGGTACAGGTAGTCCTGTATGAAGACCTTGGAACAACTTAGTTGTTCGCTTGCAGACATGTTACCCAATTAGATAACATCTTCAGCTGCTCCTTCAGTTCACTGAAAATGTTACCTAATCAGGTAATGAAAAATCTGCAAACAAACAACCAAGCTCAGAAAATGGTATACTGCAACAGCCAGTCATGATAGGTCTAATGAGCAACACAAAGAGCAGAGTAAATAAGTGATACACAGAATATTTGTTTGTTAATTTAGCTGCTCTTACTGCAAGGTTAGAGGTAACAGCAAGTATGTTGAATCTCGTTTCCAACCTATTGCTGCCAAGGTATGATTCCAAATAATCAAGAATCTGAGCACCCTCATTTAATTATTATTGTAACAGCATATACATTTTCCTTTTCTCTTTCATCCTTCCCTCATCAAATCACACAACCAAATGGCTTATTTCCTAACTTGAGACATTAAGAGAGATAGATATAAAGCAAGTTTTAAACCCTCTAAGACAGAAAAAGGAATGCAGCAACTTAGGCAGCAACTTAGATAAAGGTTGCTAAAAAGGCAGCAACTTAGATATTACTTCTTGCTTGCTTCTTAGTGCAAATTGGCTAGTAATATACAAATAATGTACCGGTGTAGTAGATCCTGGAGGAATATAGAACAGTGGCACTCCATTTCGAGTGCTTTCAGGAATGGTGAAATGCTCTGGGACGCTGTCAAATGACTGCAGATGAACCAGCATCTGATCAGTTTGGTTGATACTGAAAAATGAACAACAATAAAAATCCCTTTCAAGGATCTTTAAGTCACAATTTATATCCTATTAGAGATGGATGTGTTCAAAACAATCTCTAACTCCCATTAAATAGGTTTCTCTAGAATCAAACAGTGCCTAACAGTGAAGTTGTTTCAAATGTCCAAACAGAAATGAGGAAAACAATCATGATCAACAATAGTTCCTAGTTTATAAACATTATTCGCATTAGCATTCTTTATTGGGACTAAACAAACATTTAAACAAACTAAAGGGCAGTGTTACATATTTGCCCATAGCCCTTGGGGAGAAAAAATCCCACTGAATAGGCACACCAAGCAAACCTTCACCTTTGCAGGGTGTTCCAGAATCGGCGTATCACAGTCGTGCGATAGAGGCTGGTGATGGGCTTGCGTACAGTGCAGCTGATGTCGTGCAAAATGTCATAGCTGCCCTCCATAGTCACTTCCACCCAGGTGCTACGTTTCGAAGGATCTAGGGGCCAGGGGGCCACCGCCAAATACTCAATTCTCATATTGTGCTTCCATAGCAAGATGAGCTTCACTTCTAGTTGTGTGCCACCTGTAAATGGGCAAGAGGAATGAGGAATGTGTTTTAATAGAAGAGCACTAGCCCCTCTTCTTAACAAAGTCTGCCTTTGTAAAATATTAAAACACAGCTTGTGCCAAAATCAGAACATTTATATGCCTGATTAATTTCTACATTCTGTTGCCTATTTCTGTTTTTGATGTCTATTTTACTGATTTATCTAGGTTGTTCTAATGTTATTGCTTCAGTGAATGGCAGTGTTGGAAGAACCAGAGAAGACTCTGAAGGAATAAACTCCATGCTTATTTAATTTTTCTAGCTTTAATTGATCTTGGAACCTGGAGTTCCAATACCTAGCTAATATTTAGAAAATACTTTTCTGAAAACAACCCATTAATATTTCTAGGATGGGAAGCATAGCAATGACAGTCATTTTTTTTAAACTAACTAAAGTAACAATTTCAATCTCAGTGTAGCTGATTATCTGTTTGGCTTCCATCTTGAATCACTGTGAAATGTTTCAATGAAAAGTAGATAAGACAAGATTTTTTTCTTTTTTGTTACGCATTTATAACTATATTTAAAGAAATGCAGATCAACAATGGGGCTTTTAACAATTACAACTTATTATAGTAACAAATCCAGCTACTAATAAACAGCCCACTATATTAACAGACAAATACTGCCCCATATCCTATTAAATGCCATATGTCGAATAAGGTGGTGGAATTTCGCCTACTTTGCCTATAAATCTTAAGCATGAATCAGGCACTACAAGCATTCAGTAACAAAATATCCATTTGGCAGTCATTACCCCGTAAAGCAACAAAATTGTTTTGGCACATTTCTATCCCACTATTCTTTTATGGAACTCAAAGCAGTGCTTGTATTCACAGTAGTTTTTGAGTTATTAGCTTGTTAAGATAAATTAACTGGGAGTTCCCAGGTGAGCTAGAATTTGACAATAAATTTTACAGATATAATTTTAAGAGCTACTCCACGAATTATATTCAAGATCAGAAGTAGGATCATCTCCCAGTAATATTTCTACAATCTTCAGAATTCTTAATACTATGAAATTCAGCATCATTGATTTCAGATCACATGGTTCTTTCTAGGCTTTGCTTGAAGCTTCTGCAACATCCCCTAATTTGCATTAAAAAAGTTCTCAGTCCCAAAAAGAAGAGTTATTTTCAGCCTTACCTCCTTCAATGACTTCTAGCGAGTTGCCAGCCATCCCTTATGGGTCTTAGAAGACATTTTGGGAAAAGTGCAGCTCCCAGACGGAAAATAATGCATATCCCTGATCACAACTGGCAATATATACTGGCCAAAACAGACTAAGAACACTGAACAATCACCTTTTGTAATATTGACCTCACGGATACTATAGCCTTCTCGTAGCCGCACAGAGACTATACTAATAAGATCAGCATGGACCTCCTTTTCTGTATGCTTTTTTCGCCTCAAGGCAAGGGCTGGGTTGCTGCTTGCAGAAACAAGATGTTCATTGAATAATCTGTGCTGGGAGACTGCAATGATAGCAAACATCATGCAAGTGTTATTTCCAAACTGATCTATCCCGCAAACTATTTCTTCCTCCTATGAGGCCATGAGCCACTTCAGGAATCTCAGTGCAGGAACTCAAACATTTCATTATGTCCCTTTGCACATGGGTGACAAATGTAGCTGTGTAAACAGTAAATATAGCATTATTTTTTCCTCATCATTGCACATCATCACTTGCAGCAATAATGAAGGCCAGGCAAATCACTATAATCCTCAAAGCATCTAAAGAGAAAAATGAATCCCTTCAATCTGTTTATAGTTAACTACCATTTTTATTTAGCTTTAATATAGCTTTCAAAACTTGAAAGTGGTAAAGAACTCATAGAATTATAGACACCCATCTGTTCCTTTACCTCTAGCAAAACCCATTATACTCACTAATACTGGCAAAAATAGACTTACTGTTTAGTCCCATATTTCAATCTGACCGAAGATTCTTGTCTTCTTGGCACAAGTGAAGATAAGGTAAATAAGATTGAAAAATACATCTAAGTCCACAGAAGGTAAGCTTACCACAGTAATATTCAGGATTCAAGGATTCCCCACTGCGCAGAAAGGAATATGGGAGAAAAGCTTTATGGTAGACGTTCATGTCCAAACTAGAAGGCTCAACTTCAGGACACGTGGAAAGGTATGTGCCAAATGTTGCCATTGCAATGAACTTCATGAGCTCAACATTAGGAACATGACCAAAACTGCAGTCATAAGAATAGACTCCTCCCACCTACAAAAGAGAAAAAGAATGCACTGAAGTATCAATAACTTTGTCAAGAAAACTTTAGCTCGATTTCATTTTAGATATTAGCGATATCTTCAATGCCACAGTGGTAGTAACAGAAAATATTTCTAGACATAGCCAATGTTTACTCTGGTCTCTAAATGTCTATGGAGTTTCTCAGTCATGCAGGTCATGGTTGTCCCAAAGGTGTTTTTTCAAGAGGCAGCTGGGATTTCTGGTTTTTCTTTGAATATATTTCGCATCTCATCCAAGAAGTCAGAGCTGAAGAAGCTTCTTGGATGAGAAGCAAAATGTCTTCAAAGAAAAACCAGAAAGTCCAGTTGCCTCTTGGAAAGCACTTTGGTTCTGGTCTTCAACCAGAAAAACATGAAAGAGAGAAGCAAGTCTTACCATCAGTATTCTTCCCCTACCCTGAATTCCTGCATGAAATTGCCCTGCCACTGAAATGTGCAAAGGTTCCAATGGGTTTATATGTTTGCATAAATCTAAATGCATACCTTATCCGTAACTGATAAAAACTGAAGCTTCAACCAAATAATGTATATATACATGCATTAATATACTGTACACATTTCACATACAAATAAACATACACATGAACAAGCTATATCCCAAGACTTGATTTATTTCACTGTTTAAATTCAAAAGCATTATGTGCACTTCTACAGATAGCCACTTAGAAGTAAGATCCACTAAATTTAACAGGAACTACTTCTGGTTAAGTAACTGTGGATTACAACCTTAATGATCAAACCATGAATCAGCATTTGCTCATAGAACTAACTAGTACTACAGCTAGATTCCTGCTATCATCATAAATAATTTCTCCTTCCGTTATAACCAAATACTGAAAAGATCAATACATTTAATAAGCAAGCACTAGCTTTCATATTGCCATTAGAGGCAGATGGCTTCTGTCTTTAGTCTTTATGAATAACTACAGTACATTCATAAATATGCAATCGTGCACCACAGCCCATGTACTTTCTACAGCACCTGAATAAAAGAGCAGGCTACAGTCCCACTGCGTAGTTGATTGAGCAGAGTCTCACAGACTGCTACATCTGGCACACTGGTAACACCATCTGTGATCACAATGATCCCTTCAAATAACAACAACAATTATAAGCACTAAATAGACATGAGTGAACATTCCATCATGGAAGGCAAGAATTAAGTTCTGAGAGAAATTTGCAAGTGACAAAGCTGAGGAAAAATAACTAGAAAACAGCAATGGCCCTTTTCCTGCACCTATAACAAGATACATATAAAACAAAATTGATGAAAAGACCAATCTAAAATTTAAAAAGAACTTGCTGGTCCACTGTAATTTTTATATTCTAAATTAGATCCTATTAGCCTTTTGCAATTAAATAAGTCTGATGGCACTGAATTATTTACAGTACATATTTCCCCTCTCCAACTCTGATTTCCAGCATGCATTTCATAATACTACAACTGTAGTTTTACTACAACTGTAGTTTTACTACTTTTACATAGAACATCTATAATAACTACAAGGAGAAATTTCCAGACAGTGAGAATAATCAGTGAAACAGCTTTTGCCTCCAGAAGTTGTGGATGTTCCCATCACTGAAAGTTTTCAAGAAGATTCTGGACAGCCCTTTGTCCAGCATGGCATAGTGTTTCCTGCTTGAGCAGGGGATTGGGCTAGAAGACCTCCAAGCTCCCTTCCAACTGTTAATCTGTTATTCATTCACAATTAGATCATTGCAGCAATCATCTGCACTGCGCTCAGAGCAAAAGGCTTGTTGCAGGTGGTTGGAAACTACAGAAATACTTCAACAAGCATTCCTAAACAAAGAGCTCAAAAACACTCTGCATTGGAGTTAATTTACTTCTAGGCTCAGGGAAGCAAAGCAAAACCTTGCAATATTGCAAATGCCATAGTTATTACTACAGAGGAAAAATAAAAGAGTAAGCTATATATTTTGCTGCTCTTGGAGGAAAGATAGGATAGAAATTTAACAATTGAATCCAGACAAGAGTAGACAAGACTAACTTAATTTCCCTTCTTTTTCTCCCTTTATCTATTTAAACAGAAGAGATGAACTCCAAAACAGTTTTTAAAAAGGTACCACTCACCTGCAGTGGAGTTGGAAGGAAGCAGCTGCAATGCCAAAATTCCCTGTCGAATCATACTGACAAGCCCAACATCAGCTGTAACCATTGAAACCCCCAACTTCTTCCCTGGCATTTCCTGAGAGTCACAAACATGCTCCTGGTTAAGAGATGACAAGTCTGCCTGCAAGAACAGAAGGAACTCTATTAACTATACTTCAGAAGTTTGCATTTTTCATTACAGGTACCTCAAGCCTTTTTTATTAATTCCTCTCAAAAGTCAGTTTTCACTGACCACTTGATCCATTTAATACAACTGGATTACTGGAATTCTCTCTATATGGGCTCTACCTGAGGCTGCCCTTGAAGATAATCTGAACACTTGAACCTGATCAACATTCATTGGTCTAAATAATGATGGGTACATCTAGTTTTACTTACATAACAGGTCTTCATCTATCTGCCAACTTCCAGGATAATTTGAGACCCCTTCCTATGCAACTGTTTGCCTTCCTATATACAGACCATGATTAATACTTTCTTGTAGCTCTTCTCAAGTGTTGGCTAGGATGACCATATTAAGAATAGAGATTAAATTTGTAATTATTGAACTGGATTAATGCATAAGAGTGTCACCAGCCTTTCCAGGCAATACGTTTTCCCAAAATATAATCCATGTGTATATTGAATAAAAGTAGCAAGAGGTGATACCATTCTACTGAGGAGTGCAGTTTTAATGGAAAAATCTTGACTGTGGATTCCATATGTTGTCATTCAAACTAATAGTTTGCATTATGATTTAAAAAAAAAAAAACTTCGGTGTGTTTTAGGTGTAATTCCATATCTAGAAGCTTGACCCAAGATGCTGTCATAGTGCATGCTATCAACTGTTGCTTTGAATAAATACCATATAAATTTGAGAAAATTTAAACTGCAATTCCAATATTCAATCATTGCAACTATAGGTGCAGATCTAAACCCAACTTGATTTTTTTTAGTTCTTTTATCACTTTCAAATTAGTCGAGAAATATTTTTCAATAATTTTGTATACTAATATAGCACCCAGCAGAGAAATATCTGTGTGGTTATGTTTTTTTCTTTGTTGTGTAAACAGAAATCACAATTTTTAATGTTTTTGACAAGATTTCAGCTTCCATATTTTCCTGAATAAAACTTCAAATATAGAAATCAAGATATCAGGGCAGAGTATCTTTTGAAGAAATATATTTCTGGACCAATCTCATCTGATCTAATGTCTTTCCATACTTCAAGCAATCTAGTGGCTTTTTGGATTTTCCCAGGCTTGGTGAACCTTTATAGAATGTGTTGGTTTTTCTGTTTATGAAATTACAATTAATGATAGCATTTAGAATAGTTGGGGCTGGATGGTTTAAAATTTTAAATACTTCTGTCCTAATTTGTCTTGTTGCGTAGCGTTTGCTATTTTCATCTGTCATAATAGCGCTAATCAAAACTATACAAACCTCTCATTTAACAACCACATTCTGTTCCCTAAATTTGAAGTCAAGTGGCCTCTAAGCAAACATGTGACACACAGAGAAGACCTATTGCAAAGATTACTGGTTGCTGCCATCTCATTTAGATAAAGGTCTCTTGTACACCTATTCCAACATTACTTTCACCCCAGCTTGTGTTTGCCAGGCAGACAAAAATTGGATGCAAGTGTGTGTAGTGATCAGAAAATGTTTAATTACCATCTAATTTGTGAATGGACACAAATGAGGAGTGTATTTTCTCACTGGATTTTTCATCAGCTGAAAGTTTTCACTTCTTTTTCTCCCGATTGTTCTAACTCTGTTGCTTTGTGATTGCAATACAATGTATTACCTTGAGTAGCTTGCTTTTTCACTAAACCAGACTTCAATATATTTTAGGTGGCTAAAGCTGGTTTCCTTTGAACTGATAACTGTTTCAGAATTTCCCCAGACTTTGCTTGTTTTCTTCAATAACCTTGTCTGCTGTATAATGAATAACATTTTCACTTTAAAAAAATCAGTAGCTGGGGTTGGTATGTACTTATATTCTACAGCTAGTTTTCAGCAGCATCTATTTCTGTTTATTTTGTTTAGCACTAAAAACATTGAGACAAAATTTTATAGTATACTATTCCCAAGAGGAAAGTTTGCCTGAGCACAATGGTGGCTAGACCATAACCTATAGTTAAGACAGCCTAGTGTCTTTATACTAAGAAATGTTTGAGATACCAAAAAAAATATATTGCCAAATATAAGTATTAATAGAAACTGTACCTCTTGAAACCTCTTTGAATGAAAATGTCAGCAAAACAACCAACAGAACAATTATAGTAGGATTTCAGTTAGGAAAAACTAGAGTCATCAACTTTTGCTAGCTACTGTTATAGATACTATTTGAGCTCATCTCCATCAAGCCACTCTCTCCCGTTCACTGTTACTGATCCTTTGCTGAGAAAGGTTTTCAGCTTTCTAAACAAATATGGGGAAATGCTCTGGAAATTGCAAAGGAAAATCAGCAATAGAGAATAACAGGGAGCAGGAAAGAGTACTGTAAATACTTGTGAATATACCACGCAAGCCAGCTTTCTTTCACCAAGTTCCTACCCACTGTAAGAATGAAGATAACAAGTACTCCTTATTCAGTGACTGCTCCAGACAGTGATCATTTGCAAATTACAACAGTGATATAACAGTAATTTTGCAACCAATGCCTGCATTTACAACTTTCACAGCATCTTTTAGTCATGCATCTGCCATTAAGTTAGTGCGTGTTGTCTGTGACTGATCCATTTTTCCCTTCTCAAAGACATTGTCCAAATAAGTTCTCTCTTCCTGAGCTGCTTTTCTCTCCAGTGCAAATTAATAAACTCAGCTGTGACTGAAATTGGTTAGATTCCCTGGCTGACTCAGCATGCTGCACAATTCTGACAAATATAATCAATTTCACAATGAAGGCTATTTTGGCCCAAGTGGACTTTATTGACTCTTCAATGAGAACAGCTGGGCACATTCTTTTCACTGTGTAGTCTCCATTGTGTGCCCACTTATTTTTACAATTCCTTCCTCGCCAATGAATGTAAATTCAAATATTAATTTCCTTTTTGCTAATTATCATATCTGGGGTGAGCATTCCAAAGAGAGAGGGAGTTGGGAAAAAGCAGGTTTACCCTTTTACCCAGCTTCCTTGCAAGTCAAATTCTTGAAACCTTCTTCACTATATGGGCTCTGCCTGCTGTTTGAGACCATATCCTTCTGATGCTATAAACCAGTGGTCGCCAACCGGTGGGCTGCAGCCCACTGGTGGGCCATGGAAAAATTTTGGTGGGCCGCAGAAGAAATGGCCCCTGAAAGCAATTGATCTGGGCCGTGCAGTTCTCGTGCCTCCCGGCTCTTTGAGGGACCCCAGAGTCAGGTCCCTGAGTTGCATGTGCCAAGCAGCTCCTACATATGGCGGCGGCGGCAACAACAGTCCCCTCCCCCAGCACCGACTGTTAGCTCTCCCCATTAGTTCTGTAGCTTTGAATGGCTCCCGCCTCTCTCTTTCCTTTCCCCTCCCCCCACGCCCACATGCAGGCAGGCAAGGAAAGGGAGACAGAGCCGTGCGCAGCTCTCACCTCCTCCAGCCCTCACTGCCTCTCCCAACATCGAAGCCTCGGCTGCAGTGGTAGCGCCGAGTTGCTTGTTTCTCCACTACTGCCTCCTCCTCCTCCAGTATTTCCTTCTATGGGTAGGGCAATTCTGAACTAACCGAACATGCTAAGACAACTCGGGCGCTACTGCTGCGGCGGCTTTGCCTGCATCTCCGAGGCTTCGATGTCCCGTGAAGAGTCGAAGAACTGGGACATCGAAGCCTCAAAGAGATGGGAGGCAAAGGAGCTCCCACTTTCTCCCCCTCCCCTCCCCCCAATTAATTGAGGGTGGCAGTCCTGTAGGCAGATGCCTGCTGAGAAGCCCCTGGAGTGGCGGCCAAGGGGCACTGCCCCCCAAGGAGAGCAAAGCCCCCTTTCTGCCTCTGCTTCTCCCAGCGGCAGTTGCCGCAAGGCTCCTCAGCTCCACTCTTCTGTCTCTTTGGAAGGTGCAGGTGGGGAGCATAGACATGTATATTTGCTAAGCTAGCAAAATGTAGTGCCTTCAAAAATTCTTTCGACTCAACATCCTATAAGACATGCCTCCAAACATACCCATTCACCTAGTTCAGTGATGGCTAACCTTTCCGTCTTTGCGTGCCAAAAGTGTGTGCACGCACGCATGCCAACATCCCCACACCCCATGCGCATGCGTTCCGTTTCTCTGCGCATGCGTGCGTGACCCCCCTGCGCATCCCGTGCCTTTTTGCGCATGCTTGTGCATCTTCCGCACACCCCCACCCCCTGCACATGTGCAGCAGCTTCCCGACAATCAGCTGGCAGGTGGGTGGCGGACGTGCATGCGCAGTGGACTTGCTCCAGGGTGACGGCTCACGTGCCAGCGAAGATGGCTCTGCATGCCACAACTGGCACACGTGCCATAGGTTCACCAACATGGACCTAGCTTATTCTAGAGAACTGTTTCTATTGCTCCACTATTTGCCATATAGGAGTCATTTGAAGCAAGGCTAGAATTATTCTGATCCTCAATAAACGTGAAAGAGCTTCCCACTATCAGCATAATAATCAGGGCAATAATAAAAAAACAATAAATTTCTATTTTAGAGCTCTAAATATGCCCTTGATTTTAATTATTAGGTTCCTTCTAACAAGTTCATATGTCTTACCCTTTCAGGCAACAATTTTATACACTACTATTAAGTACTAACAACTATTACTTCTGAACTCCAGGGTATATGAAGCACGTTATCATCCACTCCAGGTACCTTCAAGTTTTATATTCCAATAAAGTATTGAAATAATTAAAGCCAGTTTCTTTTACACAATTAAGACTATTTACATAAATCATAAAAGATGTAACATTCTATAGTATTTCAATACATTCACAGCATATTAAACATAGTATCTCAGTATTCCTTTTTGGAAACTTCTAAAACAGAACATGTCATCAGTACACCATAGGCTAAGACACTATAATTTGCATAAGGGGCTCTAGATTAGAACAGAATAAAATGGAAATAGAATCTGAATTTATATAATGTATAATTACATGTTTTATTATTGTACTATCTTGTACATAATATATTATACTATTATTTATAATAGATTATTTATTAGACATTTCTAATTTGCGTCTGAATTTATACATTGGTTTTCTTCCCTTTCCTTTTTAGCTGATCAATTTGCCATGTATGGGCAAGCAAATTAATTAAGCAGAGTATATAGCAAAACCATTTTTTGCAAGCCTTATTAAGTCAGCTTCAATAAAATCCATGTGTAGAAAAATTAGTTCCCCCCCCCCCCCCGAAGGTCCTAATATGGACTGCTGGGAAAAACAGAAAAAGTCCACAACAGGGAAAGAATATGAAGAAATTTCCCACTCATTCAAGAAGAAAACAGTTACTACGGCTTCTCACCTGAGTTTTGGCCTCATATTGGTGCTGGAGCATCTCAGCCACTTTGTTTTCAAAGGCGCACAATTGTGTATAAACCTGGTTCAAAAAGGTTTCTGTCTTTGTTCCATTTGACAGGCAACCTTGGAACAGCACCTGGGCCACGGGGAAAAAAAAATCTGTGGGTTTGATTTGGCAATGAAATCCTGCAAGTGTTACACCGGGGTATCAAACTCGCCACGTCATGTTGCCATCACATGACATTTGTGATATTTTTCCCCTTCATAGAGCTGGGGTGGGTTGGCCTGCGCATGACACATCCAGCCCACAGGCCACCAGTTTTACACCCCGTGTTATACCAACAAAACCCCCAAAAATTAAAAAAGGAAACTATCAGTTCACTAATTATCAAAGAACATTTTTAAAAAGCAGATTCAAACATATACATACATACATACATACATACATACATTACATACTTATGGTATTCAGCTTTGTTCAAGTATTTTTCCACATTATTATACTTGTGCTTTTAAAGTTGTAGCAACGTTTCAGCAGAATCTCATCTGCCATAAATTTGGTGCTAGCCTACTGCTGTGCCAGAATGGTTTTTTCTTCATCCTGATTGGTTGGGAGTCTTGGTCTGTGTTTATTGGTCTTGGAGTTTGCTGTGTTCTGCTTGATTGGTGTTTCTAATATCTTCTGTCTGTTTTGTAGTTTGGGGCATCTGGAAGATTTATCTCTTGGGGTGATCGTCTGTTGGATCTCCTTGCTCATGTGGCTGGTTATAATTTTCTTCTTGGTTATTTTTTCCAAATATGTGGTTGGGTCCGTGTTTATGGATTTGTATGTGGAGTCTTGGAGTAGGTCTGTCAATTTTGTTTCGTAATCTTTTCTATACCTGAACAAAGCTGAATACTATACATGTAAGTACCTGTGAAAACTTAAGAAAACAAATATCAGACCTCTACGGGGAGGAAATAAACAGCCAGACCAAAACCTATAAGAAGCTAGAAGTTAAAAGAGCAGGAATACTATGTGACCTCAAATTCCTACGCAGCTGCAGAGACAACAATACAACACCAACATGCTTCAAATTAACATTTCATGACAGCACAGCAGCTACTAAACGTATCCTGAAAAGAACTGAAATGGCTCTACTCAGGAACCAGCTCCACAGAAAGAGATTCCAATTGGATCAGTTAAACAAAGATTTGCTAACACTACACCTTGAGCAGCAAAATCCACCCTCTACTTTGGGACAAGATAAAACAACTTACAATTTGGACAGCTGAAACTTAAACCACTCACAAAAATAACAAACTCTTGAAGAAACTAAAGAAATTAGAACATGACAAGAAAGCCCCCAACAACTCACAACAACACCTGAAACAATTAGTATATAACATTTCCAACAGAGAACTCACCAAAACAGAAACTGATGTCCTAACCAAAGGATTCAATTATGCTATAGCACCCCCCAAAATCCCCACAGAATCCATCATATGTGCAATAGAATCCAGCCTAACTAAATTAAATACAGATAAAGCTGATAGAATAAGACACCAAGTGCACAAGCAAACCACCCAAAAGCAACTTGCACAAAGAGAAACTAAAAGCCCTGCAAGCCCTAAAGAACGACAGCAGCATAATCATACTTCCAGCAGATAAAGGTAATGCCACAGTAATAATGGATAGAAAAGACTACGAAACAAAATTGACAGACCTACTCCAAGACTCCACATACAAACCCATAAACATGGACATAAACACATATCTAGAAAAAATAACCAAGAAGAAAATTATAACCAGCCACATGAGCAAAGAGATCCAACAGATGATCATCCCAAGAGAAAAATATTCCAGATGCCCCAAACTATACGGCCTCCCAAAAATACACAAAGAAGGCATACCTCTCAGACCCATAGTCAGCTCCAGAGGAGCACCACTACAAAACCTAGCTAAACACTTAGCAAAGCAGCTACAGCCCCGTGCTGAAGCAGCAGCTTCACATGTACAAACTCACACCACTTCTTGGAAATGATCAAAGATCTACACGTGGATTAAGAAGATCTGCTTGTAAGTTTCGTCATGGTTTCACTATTCACTCAAGTCCCGATAAAAGAAACTCTTTGAATCATGAAAAATAAATACCAACCAGCCAAACACCTCATGGAACTAGCAGAACACTGCTTAACCAACACATATTTCATATACAAAGGACAAAGATACAAGCAAATTGAAGAAGCCCCTATGGGATCACCACTGTCACCCATCATTGCAAACCTGTTCATGGAAGAATTCAAATCCAGAGCCCTAGCTAATGCCACCCACAAGCCCAAACTATGGTTAAGATACATTGATGACACATTTGTGATTTGGCCCCACGGAAAAGAAAACCTAAACAATTTCCTAACACACCTAAACAGCACACACCCCAAAATCAAGTTCACTATGGAAACGGAAACAAACAAACAACTACCATTCCTAGATGTACTAATCTACAAAAAAACAGATGGCACACTAGGACGCACCATTTACCAGAAGAAAACACAAACCAACTGCTACCTCAACACCCAATCCCACCACCACCCAGCACAGATAAACTCCGTGATCAAAACACTAATCGCCAGAACCAGACGCCTGGCAGACAAGACACACATAAAGACTGAACTATGCCACCCTGATTAAGTACTGACAGCTAACAGCTTCCACAAAAGCAAAATCACCGGCTTGATCCACAAAAGCACACTGAGACATAATGGAGACCTAGAAGATGAACAGACCTATGGAACAGCTGTCCTGCCCTACATAAGAGGTACTACAGACAAAATCAGTAAGATACTACACAGGCATCACATCAAGACTGCCTTCAAAACAGACAGAAAAATAGCAGCCATCCTAAGAAACTCCAAAGATAAAATTGACCAGGAAAACCAAGGCATATATGAAGTCCCCTGTGCATCATGCCCTGCCACATACATTGGACAGACTAATAGAAGAATAAGTACCCACCTAGATGAACACAAAAATGCAGTAAAAAAGCTGGAACACACTTCCTCACTAGTCCAACACATGAAAGCCACAGGTCATAGCATCGACTTCAATGGCACCAAAACCCTAGCCACTATAGAAAACCCCAGCCACAGAATTATCAGAGAAGCCATAGAGATTGAAAAAGACCTGAAAGCATGAATAGAAGAGATGACTCCACCAGACTGTCAATTATTTGGAAGCCTGCACTCTCAAACAAAAAAATCTCCACACCACAAGCTAGGCAAACACCCGGGCACAAACAGATTCCCCCCCCTGATACCTCCAGCTCAAACACACCCCAACCAGGCACCCAGATAAAACCGAGCTTCCTAATAAATGATAGCCGTCCATTTGCCCGGAGTCAAGCCGCTCTAAAAGCCTCCAATACAGGAAACACAATGTTGCCAGTCAATCAAGACAACAACAACAAAAAAGCTACAAAACGGACAGAAGATATTAGAAACACCAATAAAGCAGAACACAGCAAACTCCAAGACCAATAAACACAGACCAAGACTCCCAACCAATCAGGATGAAGAAAAACCCATTCTGGCACAGCAGTAGGCTAGCACCAAATTTAAAACAGAAAAGGCTGTGAAAGTCTGACTCACAGACGAACACAATACAGAAGCCTGATGATGGCAGATGAGATTCTGCCGAAATATTGCTACAACTTTAAAAGCACAACTATAATGACGTGGGAAAATACCCGAACAAAGCTGAATACCATACATGCAAGTACCCACGAAAACTTAAGAAAATATAATGCAAAAATGCAAAACAGTAGTTAAAGTGTTGATTTCCTTGTCAAACTGAAAACTTGTATCTCTTTATGGCTTCATTTTTTTGCTACTTTGCAAAAGTACACAAAGGACTCACATTTTACGTTAAACAACACATATTTTTATTTTCAAAAACTTAAATTACATCTATGTTTGATATAATTAGGCCAAAGATGTAAAGTTTACCTGGGTCAATTTTTCCTTCTGATCAAACTCATTGCATATAAAAAGGTTACCCAGAAGATGTATCCGCATGCAACATATTCTAGTTAACAATTTCTTTACAACACAGGCAGGCAACCTGACTTCAAATATTTTAGACTGTGTTTTTTTCATAAAACATACTGAATACTGTCAATGTTATAGATTATAGAAAATGCAGTCCAAAATGCCTACAAGTAATTCAGGATACCTAGTCCATTTTAAATGCTGGAGATTACAATTCATCGTCTTATTCCTTGGCAACAAGTCATTTTAACTCTAAACAGTTTAGGCATTTCACATAAACATCTCAAAACTGAAGATATAAGTATTACCTGATGCATCTGTAGGCTAATGATAGAAGAATATGCTTGGATAGTGATGAAAATCTCAGGCTGGAATATAATATCAGAACCTGGGATTCTAAAGGGCTTTAACAATCCTCCTAAACACCTTGAGAGTGCATAGAAGACTTCATCAAAAATTATCTCCCCAGGAGAGTCATCCTGGAAAAAAAAAAAGAGGATATGCAAGTTTTCCTTAATTTATCTCAGAGGTAATTCTCTCCAGTCACCTGGAAGTAGGTCTTGCAAATTTTATATTTTAAATATTTGGAACTCATAATAATTTTCACCTATGAAGATATGCAGATTAAACATCTCCATAAATGTAACCTAGATTTTTTTTTTAAAAAAATAGGCAGGTTTCTCTTCATAGAGGATATATTTCTGGGAGTTCTGAACAGGAAGTACTCTCAGCCAAAGGAAAAAAAATATTGAGAAACTCAAAATACAACTTGGAGAGATTAATATACTTACTACAATCCCTGTAGATGGACTCAAATCCAGTTCAATCACAAAACGGTACCGGTGTGCAAGGAAAGTGACATGTGTTGAAGGCACCAGGAGGTACGGCTTAGTTTGCAAAGGCTCATCAGGTTGCCAGCTGTTTGGTAGAATGCTGAGAATATCTAACTCACTATCTGACTTTGCCTTCAACAAAACAAAACAAAAATCTAAGAGACAAAGCTAAAAGCAAAAACTGAAAGAAATCACAGCATTCCATATATGAATTATTCTTCCTAAAATCACAAGAACTAACCCCTTTCTGCTTCTCTCAGATTACAAAAAATGTTCAGAAACTTTGCAATAAAATTTTCTCACCAATTCAGCTTCAGACATCGAGCAGACAACCTGATGCAAACGACCGAGAAACCAAGCTAGTCGCACATTACGTGAAATTCGATAGTTCTTCTTCAGCAAGAGGAACACCTGTCCAGCCTCCTCTATCTGCAAATTAAAAAAAAAGACATTAAGCAATAGCACTTAGATTTATATACCACTTCACAGTGTTTTACAGCCCTCTCTAAGCAGTTTACAGAGTCAGCATATTGCCCCCAACAATCTGGGCCTTTGGAAAAGGAATATGCCCATGTGTTTTTTCAAACATTAAAAAGCCATTTGAAATTTAAATTGTTACCTATATTACATGCCAAAACAGAAGTTATTACATGATTCACACTTAATTTCATGCTCTAAAACTGAAAAGGGGTGGGGGGGACAACTGAATGTATAAAATTGTATTCGTATTTAACTGGGCTTTTTTCTCCCACTTTGAGGAGTACTTTTGACAGATCTAATAAAAAGCCACAGGTAAATTGCTGGATTAAAAAAACATGAAAAATTCATCAAGTTAGAAATGAAATGAGATTGAAAATGATATCTACCATTAAAGAAAATTTGACAAAGATAGTAGTGTACTGCATGAGGAACCTGAGCATTTATGACCATGTATTATTTTTTTAACCTACCTTTTTACTTATACATGGTGAAGTGAAGAGAATGGAATACATTGTAGCCAAAAAAAGAGCATCCAACTGCAGGAATTGGGTGGCCAAGTTAGATTGCCCATATGTACTACATACAGCTGCATTTTTGAAAGGAGGCAGGAAATGTGTCTTTGCAATCAGCTTGTTAATCAGCTCAGAATCACAGAATTCCATTGTGCTTATAGCATTAAATTTGCCTCTATGGACTCTTAAAAGGCTCACCTCTTAATCACTTTGGACTTTTTTTTATTATTTGACTTTCTTTAAAGATCAAGAACCTCTGGACTGGCAAGCTTTATTGAAATTAATGAATGAATATCCCTTAAAACAGTTTAGCTATAAATTGGATTTGTATTTTTTGTTGAATATACAAGAGGATTGTTGGCTTTGAAAAATTTCACACAGATTAGAGGCTTAAACAGATTTGACTGAAAACAAAAACATTTCCACAGGTTAAGGTTGGATGAGAACCCAAAGTTCTTTAATCCTGGTCCAATGTAACAGGCTGGCTCTGGGTATATTTAGTTGGCTAATTGTGGTAAATAATAGTTTCTATTGCTATGCCATGTCAATGATTTAGAAAACCATTTCAATAATAATTTCTAAACTTCTAATAAAATCAACCATGTTAAATCTTTCTGCTGCAAGCAGAATTCTAGCATGTTTCATGAAACAATCATTTGCAGTTACAAGTCACAGAAGATGATCTAAAGACAGCCAACAGCATCAATCAAATATTTCTCATGCTAACCTTTTCTCAGACATACTGGTTTAAATTGAGAACGTTATTCAAGGTCCATCATTTTCCCTTAGCAGCAGCGAACTGAGTCATAGGCAAACTGACTTGAAAACAAATTCTACTCAATTAGTGGGCTTTCCAAGCAAAGTTACATACAACTGGAGCAAATTTTCTGCAAGTGAATGATGTACAACACCCTGCTACGGAGAGCAGGACCCTGGGAAGGTGGGCGGTTGGAAGTGAAGGTTTCTGACTTTGATAGGATAACATCTGCATAAAATGTCTATGGAGATGCTCAGTCATCCAAGGTCAGGCTGTTCTAAAGGCTCTTTTTAAAGAGGTAACTGAACTTTCTGGAAGCAGAAAGTCCAGTTGCCTCTTGAAAAAGTACCTTTGGGACATTAGTTAGTTTATCCACCGCTGATCTTTCGTGCCCAAATTAGGCTGAAAAGACTCTCAACACTTCCTTTACACTGGGTCTGTATCAAAACACAGTTGCGGAACTAGGAGAAAACGGCATCACAATTCGTGTCTTACAAAAAGCTTTTTGCTTGGGAAAGCTGGGAACCGGGTTGTTCTTTTTAACGGACCACGTCCTCAGACCTTCTCCGTGCAACAGGTGTGCAACAGCCTCACCGTTCACCAGGTCTGGCGCTGGCACCGGTCCCTGGGAAATGCACCTCGCTGCACCCTCGCTTCCCACCCCCTCACCCCCGGTCCCCAAGCAAACCGAGCGGCCACTCCCAGCGGCGTCCTTCGCTTCCGCCGCCCCCCCTCCCCCAAAAACCACCCTCGCGACCCCTCTTCTCGTTCCGCGTCTCTACCAATTAAGCTCGGAGCTTCTCAAATGAAGGCACGCCCCGCGGGCGGGCTGGCGCGCGCAGCCACCACCACCACCACCACCACATCACATCACCCCACCACCAGCGCAGCACGTGCGAGCCTGGCGTACGTACCTCAGCCTCCGGTTGCTCTGGAGCCGCCATCGCTGGCCCTCCAACCGCCCCTCCCTCCCTCCTCCTCCTCCTCCCCCCTCTCTCTCCTCCTCCTCCTCCTCCTGCTGCCCTCGCCTTGTGATGATGCTCTGACCCGGAAGAGGAAACAAAAAAAGGAAATGGCGTGAACCGCTGGGTGCTTTGCCTTTTTAATCGCTGACCTCGGATTTTGTTGCCATGCAGGTGAAGTGGCCGCGGCCGGTTGTTTTGGAATGGGTGGGATGCCGGGGTTGTCTAAAGAGCCAGCTCTCCTAGAGATTGCCGGCGGGATTGAGTATAGTTTGGCTTGGCTTTTTTTTTTAAAAAAAAATAAAAGATCCGATCCGAGAGCGATCCAGGCTGCAGAAGCGCGCTAATCCGTGGTTTGTTTTATTAGCCCGCTTACCTGCATTTGTTCGACACACACTGGTCCTATGCTAAATTCTGACCCACTGGGCTTCTCCAGCCTTAGCCCTAAATGAACAGCGTCGTTCAGAAATGATGTAGAAATAAACATGGCTGCCTGCTGTCCAGCTTCTTGTAGCAGCAGATTGGAGGCGGGGGAGGGGAGGTGGGCAGAGGATTTGGGGACTGGAACAACACACCGAAGTCCAACCCCCCCCCCCCCCCAGTGCAAATAGCGCACACTTATCAGAACTGACGACCACACTGAACAGAGATCTTGACCGTACAGCTGTGAAAGCTGTTGGTTCAGAAAGCTGAAGTAATGTGTCATGTCTGTTGGTTTGCTGCTACCCTGTTGGCTGTACTTTTTGCTCGATTTAGCACATTGACTTTTTGGATGATCTATTTTGTAATCTTCGCGGGCCTTGTAATTAGTCTTATGCTAGTGTTGCATGAATGGGATTTAGGTTGCATTCCCAAACGGGATGAAAGTAAGAATCCCACAGAGATTAAAATAATTTTCCCCAAAGCGATGCCCATCCTTTGTGCAGCAATATACCGCTTTTAGAATTTCTAATTAACTTAATCTGTTATGATATTACTGATTGGTTCCAGTTATTACTTAGCAGCTATTATCAGATTGAAGAAAGTTATAATGGGATTTGCTGACAGAACCCTAGAACATGTCTTTTGAAGTAGACAATATAAAGAGCTATTTTAAATCAGACATGAATCTGTATGCAATCTGGGATGACTGAATATTAATACATACATTTTAGGTAACTGCAGGTACCAGCAGTTCTCAATTACAGCAGCAAGACTTTGACAGATGATGAGTAATGTAAATTGCGGGAAGAATTGTCTTAGAAAAATGATTGCAACTAAAATAATGTTAAACCCCCAATTTCAAATTGTGATTACAATGTACTTTACTGTGCTTGAGATGTTTTTAATAAATACAAAATTTTATACATTCTGTAAACTGAGCTCTCCACTCTCCACAATCCGGACTGCAGAAATTTAGAGTACCACTAGATGGAACCCATTAATTACAGGAGTTCTTTAAAAACCTAGGGGCCACAATTGCCTTGGTTGCAATAGAGGTATCTCTATTGCTTTTTAATATGTAATAAAATAAAAAAGGAAAATAACTAGATACAAGAACAAATGATAATACAAGAAAGAAAAAAGAGAAGCCAAAAAACAAAGTACAAAGAAAAATAATTAAACAATGCATGGTAGAATGAACATAGAAATAAATAGAATGATAAAACATGCAAGAGTGTTTGGTCTTAAAGAATAAATTAAACTTTCACCCCATAGAAAAGCAGTTCATATATATAAAATATAAGTATGTCTTCCATCCATGATGTTGAGGTGTGAATTCTTTCTACTATAGTAGAACAATCAGCATAATGCCAATTGAAGAGAATATTTACAGCTCAAGGTTGCACTGCAGAGTCCTTGGTGTTTTCTGAGCTTCTTGTTGATTTCCAGGATATAATATATGTCAAAATATGAGCCCAATAGTATAGATGAAAATTAGGAAAATTAAAATCTTCATCTTTTTATGAATATCTTAATGGCTTAGTTCATTCACAGCTTTGTCATCTTACAGTATCCATTTGCTGTAATTTTTTTTTACATAGAGCTGTCCTCGAATACCACTGAAAATTTTAGTATGTTTACTGCAAAGTCCTATTACTGCCAGTGATATTTTTGCTGTGGAAGCTGCACTAACTCATGACACATTTCAAAATGACAATTGAAGGTTCGAGAAGCCCTCCCCCCAGTGGGTATTTTCCATGGGAGTTCCTTTTTTGGAAAAATAATATCTCCTATTTCTGTGTTTTTGGTAATTTGTAAAAAGCTTGGTGGTTCCAGAAAGTTTTGAGACTTGTATGCTGCACTGTTTTTAGTGCCAGGAATATTATTCTGGGGAAATTTTAAAAAGATAATCAAGCACTTGGATTGCAAGAATTTGGAAATAAAGTGATAGCCAGCAGTCAGCATGGATTTGTTAAAAACAGGTTGTGCCAGACAAGTATTATTGCTTTCTTTGATAATGTGATTAGATTAGTAGAACAGGATAATGCTGTGGATGAAGTAGACTTCAGTACAACATTAAATAAAGTAGACCATACCCTCCTTTTTGATAAACTGGAAAGATATGGGATGGATGGTCCCACTACCAGATGAATTCACAGTTAGCAGAACAACTATATCCAACATGTGGTCTATAATGGTCTATAATCCCCATGGAGAGAGGTATGTACTGGGGTACCTCAGAGTTCTCTCCTGGATCCAATACTCTTCAATGTCTTCAAAAATGACTTAAATGGAGGAATAGAGGAGTTGCTCCTAAAATTTGCGGATGACACAAACCTGTGGGGTACTGCTGACAGAAGACAGCCTCAAGGTTCCAAAGGATCTCGATAGACCTGAACATTGGCCCTATTCAACAACATGTTTTCAGTGATGAGAAATATAAGATTCTGCAACTGAGGCAGGAAAAACCAGATGCACAACTACAAGATAGGCGGTATCTGGCTTAATAATAGTACTTAAGAGAAGAATCTGGGTGTCCCTATAGATTATTGATTAAGCAGAAGCATAAAAAAGACAAATTTGTGTGAATGCCTCTCGCCAGGACTATCACCTGCTTATTGAATAGTAGCTCTGAGTCTAGGGGAGTCCCCAAAATGTACACCAGCTATGTCCAGAGTCAAAAATGGCATCTTACCGGACCCTGGGAGACCAAAAGCCACTATGTTAAGTTGAAGTCAGTTCCTTCCTATCCAGACTTTCACAGCCTCCATGCAATCAGCCCGTACCATGGCAGTATCCCCTGCTCAGCCAGAAAATGGAGATGTATACCTTGCCTCATACCAGTAAAGGACCATAGACAGCAGTTTCATGTAAATGTTAAAAGAGGAGACGAGATAGATCTAAGCCCTAAGGGATGTTGCATTGACTGACTGAAACTGGCCATAAAGAAATGAGAACTGCTGCTAAACAGTGCTTCCTATTCCTAGCTTCCAAAGCTGGCTCCAAAGGACATAATGTTTGGTGGTATTGAAAGCTCCTGAGAGATGAGAAGAATCGGGGATGGTTGCACCTTCCCTGTCGTGAGATCAGAGACGAGTACCAATTTCATCTTAGTACTGTATTCTGGCTGAATTCAGACGGAAAAGGGTCCAGTTAATCTGCTTTATCCAGGGCCCTGTATAACTGAGTGCCAACCACCCTCTCAACAACCTTCCTTAAAAGTCAAAGTTGGAAACTGGTTGAAAGTTGTCGAAAACTGTTGGGCCCAAGGATAATGTATTGAGAAGAGGGCATTACCACCTCATTTCAGTCAGACAGTAACTCCTGCCAGCAAAGAGGTATTAACAACTGCTTAGGCCCAACTTGATGCCATCTTCCTGGAAGCCCTGACCGATCAAGTGCCATATGTCCAGAATACAGCTAGGTAAAGATTCTCCTTGCACATACGTGCTAGTCATTTCCAGCTCTAGGGGGCAGTGCTCATCTCCATTATAAAGCCAAAGAGCCAGTGCTGTCCGAAGACAACTCTGGCCATGTGGCTGGCATGACTAAACACCGAAGGCGCACTGAATGCTGTTATCTTCCCACAAAGTGGTCCCTATTTTTCTACTTGCATTTTTACATGTTTTCGAACTGCTAGGTTGGCAGAAGCTGGGACAAGTAATAGGAGCTCACTCCGTTATGCAATGCTAGGGATTCAAACTGCTGAACTGCCGACCTTTCTGATTGACAAGCTCAGCGTCTTAGCCACTGAGCCACCGCATTCCTCAGAATACAGCTAGTTGGACTAGTCACAAAGACCCTGTCCACTTCTGTGTTTAATATTTTTATATAGTAGAAGTTGTGAATTTTTATGAACTTTCTTAAAATGACATGTTTTAAATATGTGCCTTCAACTTATTCTTGTTATTCTCCACCTCACCTCCAGAATTGTGCATATTTGGTCACATTGCTACCAATTCCAGACCTGTAAAAAATCTGTCTGAACTTTTCCTTGTTTCTAATATGGATTTTTGCCATGTGGATGGTTATATGCAAGCTTAAAATAGTCTGCAAAACCTGAGCAAAACTAATTATCTCTCTCCGTCTTTGTGAAAAATATTCCTGATACAACAGTCTCAAATTCAAAATCTGAAATTGCCTAAGAGAGTGGGAGTGCATTCCAGCTTCTCCCAGATCATATACAGACGGTGCTGTTCTTCTTGCTCTGTCTTGAACTACTCTGTTGCAATTGAGGACAGTTTCTGACATCTATGTAGATTTTCTTCCTTTTAGGACATCTGCTTCTTCGACAGCAACTTAGGTGGCCAAGTTTAGTACTTGCCTTTCCGCCTCATTAATTTGCTCAGAGCCTGGACCTGAACTTGGTTCTGCTGCTTTACAGTAGTTGTGTCTGCTACAGCTACGTCCCTGGCTTCTATGGAAGACTTTGGAAAAACTGCTTGCTCTCAGGAAGAGCAGATCCATCTTTATTAACCCTCTTTCTTTTCTGATTGGTCTTCCATGTGTGTTCTGCTAGATCTTCTCTATGTAGCATAGCAGGCTCCCACTTTCCATTTAAAATGTAGTTTTATGTGCACTTTCTGTATGGCTTAGGCAAACAACAGTTGCACTATTATGATGCTTAAGCCAAGCATTAGTCTTCA